TGCCCTCGATAATTAAGTACATTTCACACACACCCCTTTTGCACCATACGGTGGTTGTTCTCCCTCACAACAACCTTGCGAGGTAGACTCTGCCAGGAGATGCTGAGCAGCCCAGGGTCAAGCAAAGCAGCGTCATGCGTTAGTGGGGATTGGAACCCAGGCTCCCAGCCCCACACTCTAACCACTATACCATGCTGTCGTCCCCCCCACGCCTGAGGACTTTGTCATAGTGGCCAAGGATGCGTAACTGCTGACCCCTTGAGAAAACCAAAGTCCTCTTTTGCATGGGCCTTCAAAAAAGCCTCTCTGGAAACCGCCAGGAGTTAGCGGAGAAGCACAAGAAGGGTTAAGAAGCTGCACCCTCCCTGGTTTGGCTCCCTAATCTGAAGGGGAGGAGCTGGATTTGGGAGTCTTGGCCCCCAGGCAAGGAGAAGCGTGGGAAGCGAACTGAGGGAGTGTCTGAAAATTCGTAACCTCCACTAAAGTTCTCCCAAAGGCACAACTTTCAAGCCTGGTCTTGCTTTTCTGTGTGGAGCCTCCTCTTGCAGCAACACACACACACACACACACACACACACACACACACACACACAACACACACACACACAACACACACACACACACACACACAGGCATTTATTTGGGAGGGAAACTTTGACAGCAGGCAAATGGAAAGGAAAGCCACCTTCTAAAACTGCTCCTGTGCTGGATAGGGGAATGAGTTCAAAGAACCCTTGCAATTTCCTAGTTTCTGTTGCTTTGATTTTCGCAGCCTTTCAGGGCATGGCTTCCATCACAGCATAGGAGATCCAGGGGATATATTATGATTATTATTATTGCTATTACTAAGAAAAAGTTGTTTTTGTGTGTGTGCAAAAGCACTCGCTTATTTTTGCTGCTGCATCTTCACACTGTTGACTCATGTTAAGATGGGCCCCTTTGGCCTGATCCAGCTGCAGGGCTCTTTGCAAATCCTTATCTAACGTTTTAGTGATGTATGGAAGTGAGAGCTGGACCATAAAGAAGGCTGATCGCCGAAGAATTGATGCTTTTGAATTATGGTGCTGGAGGAGACTCTGGAGAGTCCCATGGACTGCAAGAAGATCAAACGCATCCATTCTTAAGGAAATCAGACCTGAGTGCTCACTGGAAGGACAGATCCTGAAGCTAAGGCTCCAGTACTTTGGCCACCTCATGAGAAGAGAAGACTCCCTGGAAAAGACCCTGATGTTGAGAAAGATGGAGGGCACGAGGAGAAGGGGGCGACAGAGGACGAGATGGTGGGACAGTGTTCTCGAAGCTCCCAGCATGAGTTTGACCAAACTGCGGGAGGCGGTGGAAGACAGGAGTGCCTGACGTGCTCTGATCCATGGGGTCACGAAGAGTCGGACATGACTAAACGACTAAACAACAACAACAACAACATCTAACGTTTATCAGAGTAGAGTAGGGCCATTGAAATTAATGGGTATGACAAGCTTTGGGCCCCTGATTTCAGCAGGTCTATTTTGAATAGAACTTAGCTGGAATTCAAACAGCAGTTGAATATGAACTAAAGCTTGAAGCTTTTATAGAAGCATAGTATTCTGGGATGCTTAAGGCCTGAGTTATAATGTTTTCTTATTTTTGACAGTTGCTAAGTCTATTATGGCAAACCATAGAGTTGTAGAGTCCCTAAGGGCCATCTAGTCTCACCCCCTGCAATGCAGGAATCACAGCTATGTGGTATATATAATCACAGCAAAAAACCTGTAACAGGGGGAGACTGGATATGAAAGTTTAGGAAGCAGCCCAATGTACTAAATTACTTAAATACATAAGATTAAGAGATGGAAGGCAACTAAAACCCAAATTTGAAACAAAGTGTGGGTATACTACGAATTTTAATTGTTTAATATGAATTTAGTGGATTGCAATGAATGTATTTTGCTTCTCTCTTCTCTACGTTTTTGGCATCGTTGGCTCTCCATTTGAAATTTCAAATCATGCTGGATTTAAGACTGTGCAACAACCTTTCGTGTGGATTGTTGGATTTTATGAACAGACAGGTGGAATAGACACTTTCACATATAAGGACCTTATGCATAAACTGATTAGAGAATGAACTGATCCACTGGGTCTTCTACGTTTATCATTGAACTTTATGAGCTATTTCTGTTGAAATCTACAATTCAATACAATGAATAGTTATATTATTTTTTCAAACATACAGCCGGTTACGTCTTGTGTGTTTATTGGATTTAAGACTGTGGCAGATTGCAAACCCAATCTTGGAGCGCCCCCTGCTGGCTGACAACTGACAGTGTTGTTCTGTGCTTTTGCAAATAGGGTCACACCCACACCAAAGCTTTAAAGCAGTGTTTCCCAACCGGTGTTCCGCGGCACACTAGTGTGCCGCGAGACGTTGCCTGGTGTGCCGTGGGAGGGAGGCGGGCGCTTTCTCGTTCGCGCCCTGCAGCGAGAAGGGCAGCGCAGCGCCGCAGAAGAGGCCCAGGAGGCAGCAGGCGCCCAGCGCGCGCCCGAGTCCCGCCCAGCTCGCCATGTCCGCCCGCAGCATTGGCGACCCGAGCCAGGCTCCGCGCGCGACGCCCGCCTTATGGCGCGCGCCTCTGCCGAACGCTCAGCCCCGGCACGAGCGGCTTAGCAACGCCGTCCAATCAGGGCGCATCTCGGCTGGGCGGCCGCGGCATTCTGGGAAATGTAGTCCTCGGGCAGCAGCGGCATTCTGAGAAGGCGCGCTTCTTCGCTGCTGCGCCTTTTCTTCCTCATTCCTTCTTTGCTGGCAACGCAAAAAGAGGCGGAGGAGGAAGAGCTGCTGGAAATGCCTGCGTGGGCATCGGTGCGCGCAGGAGATTTAGGCCGGGTGGGGTTGTTAGAGTCAAGATTTTATTTTGTTTATGTCCATCTTGCTGTTCGTGATACTAAACTACTCTTTATAGATCTCGTTATAACTTGTGTGGGGATTGCTTAATTTCGTTGTGGGCGCTTTGATACGGTTTCTTATGAGTGCATTTGGGTAATTATGTAAATATTGCCATGTCGTAAGCCGCCTCGAGCATGGTTTTTAACTATGGAAACAGCATGCAAATGACGATGATATCTAGGGAGGTTTCAAAGGCTTTGTAAGCAGAGTGAAGGAAAGAAATCCAGATGTGATTGTTACGCATTGTTTTTTGCACCGTGAGGCCCTCGTAGCCAAGACTTTACCAGCAGACCTAGTTCATGTGTTGGATGATGTTGTGCGCATGGTAAACAGGCCCAGGTTGCGCACTGAATAAAGTATTTTATAATTTTTCATATTTCTGTTTACTTACTATTTCATAATAAAGTAATTATAAAATACTATCTTTGTGTTTATTTGATTCCTATTAAAGAGAGTTACTTTATATATAGTCAATATAGGCACAGAGTTAATTTTTTAAACATTTTCTAATGGTGGTGTGCCTCGAGATTTTTTTCATGAAACAAGTGTGCCTTTGCCCAAAAAAGGTTGGGAAACACTGCTTTAAGGCACATCATGGTTTCTACCCAAAAGATGCTGGGAACTGTAGTTTGCTAAGGGCGATGGGAATTGTGGCTCTCTAAAGGGCAGACTGCAGTTCCCAGGCCTCTTTGGGAGAAGCTATGTACATCACCTTGCCAACAAAGGTCTGTATAGTTAAAGCCATGGTTTTCCCAGTAGTGATGTATGGAAGTGAGAGCTGGACCATCAAGAAGGCTGATGGCCGGAGAATGGATGCTTTTGAATTCTGGTGCTGGAGGAGACTCTTGAGAGTCCCATGGACTGCAAGAAGATCAAACCGATCCATTCTGAAGGAAATCAGCCCTGAGTGCTCACTGGAAGGACAGATCCTGAAGCTGAGGCTCCAAGACTTTGGCCACCTCATGAGAAGAGAAGACTCCCTGGAAAAGACCCTGATGTTGGGAAAGATGGAGGGCACAAGGAGAAGGGGGGGTCATGAAGAGGCGGACACGACTAAATGACTAAACAACAACAAAGAGTTGGAAGGGACCCTGAGGGTCATCTAGGCCAACCCCCTGCAATGCAGGAATCTCAACACATGGTCTCCCATCCACTTTGAAACCATACAGGACCCTGCTTAGCTTTGCAAATGTGCTCGCCGTTTTATTGCTGGGTGCTGTGGGTCACTTAGATATCACAAACAAGTTGTTGGCAGCAGACTTTTTTTTTAAAATACTACTACTACTACTACTAATAATAATATTTATCAGATCCCCCCCTTCCCGACGAATAAATTTTGATTAAAGCAGGAGAGAGAGGGAAAGGCTGGGATTTGGATGACTCTAAGCCATCTGGGTGAGGGGAGGGTCTCCTGCTGCACTTGGAGACCTATTCCCTTGCAGGAATTCATTTTGGGGAGGAATTTACTTTAAATTCAAAACCCACCCAAAGCTTTGAAAAAGAAAATATCAAAGGCAGGCATAGGCAAACTCGGCCTTCCAGATGTTTTGGGACTACAATTCCCATCATCCCTGACCACTGGTCCTGTTAGCTGGGGATGATGGGAGTTGTAGTCCCAAAACATCTGGAGGGCCGAGTTTGCCTATGCCTGATCAAAGGGCTCAAACCCATCAAAGGGGCAGAGCGCTCCAAAATCCAGCCTAGTTTTGCATTCTGCAGGACTACCCAATCGTTGGAGGGCGCAGCCTTGTCTATCAGAACCGCGGCCCAATCAGCGCCTGCTCCCTTTGGGAGACTTTCCCCGCCTCCCGGCTCTTAAGCCTTCCCTTTCCTCCTATTGGCCGAGTGCCTGCCACTCGCACTTGGGAGACGCCCACCGCTCTATGAACCCGGAAATTGTGAAGCCGCGCCTCCTTTAGCCCTTTAGCCAATCATAGTAAGAATTACAGGCACACGCATGCGCATGGGGCGAAAGGAAGCGGCAGTCAGGCCGGGCGGCCAGCTTTGCGCCACGAAACTACATCTCCCAGAGTGCATAGCGGAATGTTCCAGCGGGCAGCTGAGCCGACTTTTAACCCGCGCGGCATGCTGGGAAATGTAGTTTTCCCGATCCCTCCCCTTAGAAGCAGCTGTTTTGCAGCTTCGCCTTCGCTTCTCGGAGGGTCCGGGAGCCTCTGGCCGCTGCCGCCGGGAAGACGGGTGAGTGGGGGGGGGGGCTGGCAATGCTCCAGTGGCAGAAGGTTCCGCGGGCGGCTCTTCTCAGGAGAGGCAGTGCTGCTCAGTGGTTAGAGCTGGGAGGGAGCGGGGTCAGCCCCTGCGTCTCCCATTTCACAGTGTTGCTGCTGTGGGGATCAGATCTAGTTCTGCAGTGAAGGGATCTCAGCTAAGGAATTCCCACCCAGTCTCTGCCTCTGAACCTGGAGAGGAAAAGGTGCCTGTCAGTGGATATTTAGCCATGGTTGCTGCAAGAAACGTCCTAGTTCAGAAGCAAATTCATGGAGAATAGGGCTGTGACTGGAATCATAGAGTTGGGAGGAGCCTGAGGGTCATCTAGTCCAACCCCCTGCCATGCAGAAATCGTTCCCCGCAACGTAAGACTTGAACTACTGATGTATGGAAGTGAGAGCTGGACCATAAAGAAGGCTGATCGCCGAATAATTGATGCTTTTGAATTCTGGTGCTGGAGGAGACTCTGGAGAGTCCCATGGACTGCAAGAAGATCAAACCTCTCCATTCTGAAGGAAATCAGCCCTGAGTGCTCACTGGAAGGACAGATCCTGAAGCTGAGGCTCCAAGACTTTGGCCACCTCATGAGAAGGGAAGACTCCCTGGAAAAGACCCTGATGTTGGGAAAGATGGAGGGCACAAGGAGAAGGGGACAACAGAGGACGAGATGGTGGGACAGTGTTCTCGAAGATGCAAACATGAGTCTGACCAAACTGCGGGAGGCAGTGGAAGACAGAAGTGCCTGGCGTGCTCTGGTCCAGGGGGTCACAAAGAGTCGGACACGACTAAACGACTGAACAACAACAACCATACATTCTTCAACGTATAGACTCAGGGAGTCTTCTCTTCTCATGAGGTGGCCAAAGTCTTGGAGCCTCAGCTTCAGGATCTGTCCTTCCAGTGAGCACTCGGCTGATTTCCTTCAGAATGGAGAGGTTTGATCTTCTTGCAGTCCATGGGACTCTCCTCAAGAGTCTCCTCCAGCACCATAATTCAAAAGCATCAATTCTTCGGCGATCAGCCTTCTTGATGGTCCAGCTCTCACTTCCAAACATCACTACTGGGGAAACCAGAGCTTTAACTATACGGACCTTTGTCGGCAAGGTGATGTCTCTGCTTTTTAAGATCCTGTCTAGGTTTGTCATTGCTTTTCTCCCAAGAAGCAGGCATCTTTTAATGTATGGTAAGAAAGCATATGTAAAGAAAACAATAAAAAATTATGGGAAAAAGAGTCTCCTTCTTTACCGACTGAGCTACCCCATGTTCTCTCCCGCCCTGCGCAGCGCCCAGCCTCCCGCCATGGTCCACGCCTTCTTCATCCAGACGTTAGGCTGCCGACCCGGGGAAGAAGCCGGCTGCTGCCGAGTGCTCTATTCCAGGGTCTTCGGCCCTGAAGGGTTGGAAGATGCTGGTCCCCAAGATCGCGAGAAGGAGCGGCTGCGCAAGAAGGAGCAGATCCTGGCCGTTGCCAGGTAACGCAACCTGCATGCTGTGCTCTGGAAGTGTGTACGTGATTCCGACCTAACTCAGCCTCCTAGGGGAAAATGTACACCAGGAGGCTTAGTTTGGTCAGAACGGAATATAAACTTCCAGAATTAATGTTAAGTATGTCACTTCTGGTGAGTGAGCCACCATAGCCACTAGACGGCCATGAAAATTTGTGTCACGGGCTTTTAAGACTCGTCTACACATGTACTGTCTGGAACCAAAGGGGCGCATTGGTTGAAGAGGTGTGAATCCCTACCGCAGCTCTCCCACCCAACCATCTACAGTGGTGCCTTGGTTCTCAAACGCCTTGGTTCCTAAACTCCGAAAACCCAGAAGTAAGCGTTCCAGTTTTTTAACGTTTTTCGGAACGTTCGACGCGGCTGTCGGCTATTGTTTCCAGGGCGCCTGCACCAATCAGAAGCTGCACCTTGGTTTTTGAACATTTCGGAAGTTAAACGGACTTCCAGAACGGATCAAGCCTGGCATTTTTGTTTTTGCACTTTATTTTCCGCTTTTGTTTTTAAGGCTTTTTCATTTAATTTGTTTTTGTGACTGTGTGGAATCCAGTTCAGCTACTGATTGATTGATTGATTGATTGTGTGACTGTGGAAATGGATAAAAGCCCCCCATCCAAACAATGACTATCATCAGTGCAGGTAAGAAAAAAAAATTAATTTTAATTTTTATCATTTACAATACAGTCATACCTCAGGTTGAAGTAGCTTTGGGTTAAGCATTTTCGGGTTGCGCTCCACGGCGACCCGGAAGTAACGGAGCATGTTACTTCCGGGTTTCACCGCTTGTGCATGCGCAGACGCTCAAAATGACATCACGCGCATGCGCAGAAGCGGAGAATCGCGACCCACGCACGTGCAGACACGCGGACGCGGGTTGCGTTCGCTTCAGGATGCGAACAGGGCTCCGGAACGGATCCTGTTCGCATCCAGAGGTACCACTGTTCTGTCTTATTTATTTTATAGTACAGTACATTGATTATTCCTTTCAGATTATGGATCAATGGTCTCATTAGATAGTAAAATTTACGGTATGTTAAATTGCTGTTTTAGGGGTTGTTTTTAAAAGTCTGGAACGGATTAATTCGTTTTGCATGACCTTCTATGGGAAAGCGCGCCTTGGTTTTGGAACGCTTTAGTTTTGGAACGGACTTCCGGAACGGATTAAGTTTGAGAACCAAAGTACCACTGTAGTGGTTTGTTGGTTTCCCACAGGTCAGCCACTGTGAGAACAGGATGCTGGACAAGGTGGGCCATTGGTCTGATCCAGCACTCCTCTTTTTATGCACACTATTTTTCTGCGTCTCTCTTTCTCCCCGTTGCCACCTTCGCAAGCTCCTTCGTGGAAGGAAAGCTCTCGCTGATAAACTTCAAAACTCTGCTTCCTCTGGGAAGACACAAGATTTACCCACACAGGAAGAATGGCAGATGAAGTTGATGGACTACATGGAATTGGCGGAAATGACTGGCAGAATCCGAGACCAGGGAGAAGAATCGGTGGAAGAAGATTGGAAAAAGTTTAAAGACTACTTACAGAAATACTGTAAAATTAATGAATGTTAGAAAAATGTTGGAATGAAGTTATATGGCTTTAGTAGAAATGTTATAAGGAATTAGGTATAGATAGATTAATAGAGTATTAAAGGGAAAAATAAGGTTAGAATGTGTTAAGATAATTATAGGATAGGAAACAGAGGAAGATGGAGAGGAATTGCTGAAACAATTAATAGAAGTGGAAGACAAAAAGGGAGGTGTGAGGAGGTCGTGGAAACAAGTGAATGAAAGATAAGATATTGAAATTGGATTGTGTTTTGAATGGTTTTTGTTTTGTTTTAATTGTCTGTGTTAGTGTTTTGTAGTGTTTTTTGTATGGTATTGTATTGTTGTATTGTTTTTTTTTTGGTTTTTTGTTGTGCTGTGTTTAAATTGTTGAAAAATTAATAAATATTATTTAAAAAAACCAAAAACAAAACTCTGCTTCCTCTGTATTCGCAGGCAAGTGGAGTCAGCCTGCAAGCTCCACCAGCAAGCCTCTGGGAAGCCTCAGTCTGAGCACCTAGCCCAGCTCCCTGACGAACCCGTTTCTCTCCAGGATGCCCCGTCGGGGGTCTTCCGCCTCCCCATGGGGGACCCCTTCTCTGAGGACAAGACTGTTCTGTGGCTGGGCATCCAGTGCCTGGGCTTTGCTCTGGTCTGCGACCCCCACGAGAACCTCCTGCTGGCCGAGAGTACCTTGAAGCACCTCGCCAAGACCCTGGTCGACCACCTCAAGCTGCTGAGCTCAGGGAGCGACGTCGTCCTCAAGGCCGACAGGACAGAGGTCCTTCTCCACAAGTTTCTGCCGCACGGGCAGCTGCTCTTCCTGAACGACCAGTTCGTGCTGGGCCTGGAGAGAGAGGCGAGCGCGGCGCTTGGCAAATGAAAGATCTCCAAAGGGATGGAGGCTTGAACGGCTGTGGGCAGCTGTGGACGCTGGTTTGCTGCATGCTGCGTATGCCAGCCTGGACCTGCCTGCAGCCCCTCCGAGCGCTTGGGACTACAATTCCCATTGTCCACAGCCAGCACTGGACGATGGGATTTGTAGTCCCAAGCACCCAGAGGGGCTGCAGGTGGGTGAAATGTGCTCTGTGCGATAGCAACGTCACACGGCACACTGCATGATGGAGAAGAAACAGGAGGAGGAAGAGGAGATGGGGCTTCAGAGACTTATTATCGCTTCTCTGCCAAAAAACTTGAGTTCTTTCCCCCCCTTTTTATAATTGGTTTTCACATATTGCATTATAATACAGATGTTCCAAAACCAACACCATTTCCTCCCCATTATATTTCTATTTCCTCAATCCATCATATTATTCTTTTCTCCTTCCTCCCTCTTCCCTCCGCCCCCACTCGATTTCCTCCACATGATACAATTTACAAGAATCTTTGCATTCTACAACCTTCTCAAATCATCTACATATTCTTATTATCTTTCCTTACTAATTTTTCTTCCACCCAGTCCTTCACATTTTAATCTAGGCATATTAGCATATCTTTTCTTGAGCAATATTTTGCCATATATTCATCAAAACATTTCCACTCCTTTTTAAATTTTTGATTCGACTGATTTCTTTTTATAGCAGTTAATTTTGCCAAAATTAAATATTCATTCAGTTTACAAATCCATACCTCCTTTGTGGGTATAGTTTGTGACTTCCACCTAGCAGCAATCACTATTCTAGCAGCTGTACTTGCATAAAGAAAAATTCTTTCTTCCCCCTGTGGTATCTCTTCATCTATCAATCCAAGGAAACATGTCTCTGGTTTCTTTGCTATTGATATTTTCAACATCTTTAGTTCTTCATGTACTACTATCCAAAATTTCTTAATTTCCTCACACCTCCACCACATATGTATTGTTGTTCCTATTTCTCCACCACATCTCCAACAGAGGTTGGATTTCAATTTGTATATCTTTGCCAACTTAACTGGCGTTAAGTACCACCTACAGAACATCTTTCAAAATTTCCTTTAATTGTATATGAGGCAGTAAATCGTATATCCTCTCGCCAGAGTTTCTCCCATTGCTCTAGATAGATAGTATGTCCGAGATCCTGAGACCATTTAATCATCGTTTCTTTCACTTCTTCCTCCATCAATTCCCAGTCCAATAAAAGATTATATGACGAAACTCGAGTTCTAATTTCCCCTCCTTTGAAACAGGCCCTGACTGGGGAAATTGTTAGGAGAGTTGCTGTTGTAACTGCCTTGAATAGGAAAACATAGCTGTGGTTTTTCAGTGTTCAAAGCATACGGCATAAATCAGGGACAGAGGACCGTCAGAAATGTGGGCCTCCGAGCCTTTCTGCCTGGCCCTCCAGACTCTGCCACACCCATCTCCAGGCCTGCTTCGTGCCTCCTTGAGGGATTTTGCTTGGCTGCAATTGGTCCTTCAGCTCTGATTGTGCTGCAAGGTTGCCTGGGTGGAGGACAGAGAGGTAGAATCGTAGAATTGGGACCCCAGCAAGGGTCATCTAGTCCAACCCCCTGCAATGCTGGAATTTCAGCTAAAGCATCCATGGCAGATGGCCATAAGTGTGAGAAGAAACTAGACTGGTGGTTTGCAAAGTGGTTGGTACCGCTCCCCTGGGCAGGAGGGGTATAATAATAATAATAATAATAATAATAATAATAATAATTTTATTATCTTTACCCCGCCCATCTGGCTGAGTTTCCCCAGCCACTCTGGGCGGTTTCCAATTGAGTGTTAAAAACAATACAGCATTAAATATTAAAAACTTCCCTAAACAGGGCTGCCTTCAGATGTCTTTTAAAGAGAAGATAGCTGCTTATTTCCTTCACATCTGAAGGGAGGGCGTTCCACAGGGCGGGCACCACCACTGAGAAGGCCCTCTGTCTTGTTCTCTGTAACCTCACTTCTCGCAATGAGGGAACCGCCAGAAGGCCTTCGGCGCTGGGTCTCAGTGTCTGGGCAGAACGATGGGGGTGGAGAAGCTGCTTCAGGTATACAGGACCGAGGCCGTTTAGGGGGGCAATAAGGTAGCAGGTGGGTGCAGGAGCTGTAAATCAGACTTTGCAAAGCTGGTCTCCCTGGATCAAGTTTGTTGAATTAATCAAACTAAATAGCTTTATTTGGATTCCGGATAAATTACCGCTGTATTGAATTCTGTCGCGTTATTGTCTTCTTTAGTGGGCTGTGCAAAGGGTTCTTCTGAATAATCTTGACATGAGCCAACAGTGTGACGCGGCAGCTAAAAAAGCCAATGCAATTCTGGGCTGCATCAATAGGAGTATAGCATCTAGATCAAGGGAAGTAATAGTGCCACTGTATTCTGCTCTGGTCAGACCTCACCTGGAGTACTGTGTCCAGTTCTGGGCAGCACATTTCAAGAAGGACACTGACAAACTGGAACGTGTCCAGAGGAGGGCAACCAAAATGGTCAAAGGCCTGGAAACGATGCCTTATGAGGAACGGCTAAGGGAGCTGGGCATGTTTAGCCTGGAGAAGAGGAGGTTAAGGGGTGATATGATAGCCATGTTCAAATATATAAAAGGATGTCATATAGAGGAGGGAGAAAGGTTGTTTTCTGCTGCTCCAGAGAAGCGGACACGGAGCAATGGATCCAAACTACAAGAAAGAAGATTCCACCTAAACATTAGGAAGAACTTCCTGACAGTAAGAGCTGTTCGACAGTGGAATTTGCTGCCAAGGAGTGTGGTGGAGTCTCCGTCTTTGGAGGTCTTTAAGCAGAGGCTGACAACCATATGTCAGGAGTGCTCTGATGGTGTTTCCTGCTTGGCAGGGGGTTGGACTTGATGGCCCTTGTGGTCTATTCCAACTCTATGATTCTATGATTCTAATCCTTTTTATGGGGTAGGGGGCGCAATGGCCCCTAAAAGTTTGGGACTTTGGTACAAAGGCAACTCTCAAACTGATTGCTCGACCTGCTTTTTCCGTCTGGCAAAAGTCCATCAAAGGAAGCCTTGCCTCCTCCAGGCCTTTAAAGTTCTGACACACGGATTGGGGGAGAGGAAGAGGGTGGAGGGTTTTCCTGCAGTGTTCCTATCGATTAAGAAAATCCGGCAGTCATGGGGCTGGGCCTCTCCTGGAGTGACAGCTGCTTATGAGCTTCCAGAGACCTTTGGCTGTCCTCTGCTGGATCCAGAACACTGGGTTCGGTGGCCCCTTAGTCCTGTCTCAGAAAGGCAGTGGGGCATCTGCTCAGGAGAAGACCTTCTCACAGAACCATTTATAGTTGTACGTGCAGCTGACGTCGTTCCAGTGTGTTTTGAAGTGAACACAGTCTTCCTCGTGTTGTGGTGCTCCATGCCAGTTGTCTGGTTGTCCTTGTCCCCAGAAACTGGAAAAGAAGGCGAGAGGCTGTGATTATATAGCTGGCATGCTTTTAAAAAAAAACCAAACCGTATTTTTTCGCTCTATAAGACGCACCAGACCACAAGACGCACCTAGTTTTGGGAGGAGGAAAACAAGAAAAAAAATATTCTGAATCTCAGAAGCCAGAACAGCAAGAGGGATCGCTGCGCAGCGAAAGCAGCAATCCCTCTTGCTGTTCTGGCTTATGGGATAGCCGCGCAGCCTGCATTCGCTCCACAATGCGCACACACATTTCCCCTTATTTTTTAGGAGGGAAAAAGTGAGTCTTATAGAGCAAAAAATACGGTATATCTTAGGGACGCAGGTGGCGTTGTGGGTTAAACCACAGAGCCTAGGACTTGCCGATCAGAAGGTTGGTGGTTTGAATCCCCGCGACGGGGTGAGCTGCCGTTGTTCGGTCCCTGCTCCTGCTAACCTAGCAGTTCGAAAGCATGTCAAAGTGCAAGTAGATAAATAGGTACCACTCCGGCGGGAAGGTAAATGGCATTTCCGTGCACTGCTCTGGTTCGCCAGAAGCGGCTTAGTCATGCTGGCCACATGACCTGGAAGCTGTACACCGGCTCCCTCGGCCAGTAAAGTGAGATGAGCGCCGCAACCCCAGAGTCAGCCACGACTGGACCTAATGGTCAGGGGTCCCTATATGCATGCAGAGCAACAGATCCCTTGTTGGCCTCCGTCTGTCTTGAGAAACAATGGAGTGAACCTCTGCGGGTGAAGTCAAACTGCTATGTTAGCAGCACCAAAGTGACCCCCCAGGATGCAAGCCTGAGCCGTGTGTCTGGAGGTCCTGGGCTGCCCAGACGACAAGACCCCTCTCTCGGCCCTGCTGATGGAGTCCAAAGGAAAGCACAGCAATACTTTTGGCAAACGCTTGGCTGTAGCATTTGCTGGAAGGAGGCGTGCAAGGCCCCAGCCAACCGTCTTAGGGACTCCACTCTGGAATTGTGTAGAGTTTACTCCTTGGCCTTTTCTTCTCTGGAAGATGTCCCACAAGGCACCAGAAGTTTAGAATCAGAGTTTTCCTTCTCCTAGAAGGGCTGCCTTCCTAGGTGGATGAGCCCCATCTGCCCCTCTCCTCCCTCTACAGCAGGGGTCAGCAAACTTTTTGAGCAGTCCACTGCCCCTCAGACCTTGTGGGGGGCCGGACTATATTTGGGAAAAAATAATAATGAACGAATTCCTATGCACCACAAATAACCCAGAGATGCATTTTAAATAAAAGGATACATTCTACCCATGTAAAAATATGCTGATTCCCAGACCATCCGCGGGCTGGATTTAGAAGGCGATTGGGCCGGATTTGGCCCCCGGGCCTTAGTTTGCCTACCCATGCTCTACAGCACGGGTGTCAAACACAAGGCGTGCAGGCCGAATCCGGCCCGCCAGACCTCGTCATGTGGCCCGCGTAGCCGCCGGCGGCCGCCAGCCTTCACCTTTTATTCTCGCTTTTTTTTTTTTGACACAAGAAAGCCGCCTCTTCAGCGCATGCGCGGCAACCTACAAGCCAGAGAACGTCTGCCCTCTAGCGGCGCCGGCTGTTCTACACAGGAAACCTCCACTTTACATGCATTCAGGAAACCTCCACTTGTTTTTATATTGAGCGCATGCCATCCTGTGATGTGACAGATCCAACGGCTGCCTGAACCCTTCTCTCCTGTACTGTAAGTACATATGATGTATGTGTGGGGGGGTCTGCTTATTAGGGGGGGTCTGCTTATTATTCTGCTTAAAAGTCTGAGCGGTAAACTTTGGATATACTGATCACTTCCGTGTCACTTTACAGTGGTATAGGGATAATAAACTACATAAACTATGTTTAAAAATAAATAAATTACTGTCTGTTACCAAAAATCATTTTTCAATAAATTGTACAATAATTGTACATTTGAATATCTACTTGCCATTATTCTGACTATGTTTCTGCTTTCAGAGCTAGTTATTACTTACATTATTACAAAAAACAGTAATAATTGAATGCAGTGACAATAATTTATGATAATAAAGAGTGGACACATAGTCCTACAGATACAACCGGCCCTTTGAGGGTGACCAAACTGCTGATGCGGCCCCCGATGAATTTGAGTTTGACACCCCTGCTCTACAGCATGTGCAGAAATCGCCTTTTTGACAGTTGGACCCACTATTAGTCTCGTCCGCTCAATTCCCAGAGCCTGTCTTTGCAAGTCCCTAACTCACTGAGGGCTGGAGACCCATCAGCTCCCCTCTCCTTGTTTAGCCGGCCAGTCAAAGCCATTCCTGGGGTGTGGCCGCTGTCGCATGCTAACACATTCTAGGAGCCACAGGTGAGAGCTGAGTGCAACCAAAGGTGGTCAAGCTATCCCAGAAGAAGGAGCATGATGTGTCCCTATTAGTCAGGGTCCCTATTAGTCAAAGATCCCTATTGGTCAGGGATTATCCTTCCTGAATTTGTTTTGTTTTAGGAAATCACAGAGTGGCACTTTTCCAGGGGTCCCCTGGGACGGAGGAGAGGACTATATGAAAATGTCTGTTTTGTAGGGGCACCTGAAGTGAAAGAATACAGAAAGCCACACACTGTGTTTTCTTCTTTTTTAAAGAGCTGATCAGACCCACCTAAGCTTTTCGTTGTACTTTGTGCCGTCCACCCAGGTCCAAACGCCTTCTGTATTTTGGTCAGAGAGTCCAATCCAAAAGTGCTGATTTCTGGCTTCCCTGACAAGGTATTCCTGCAAAACAGTTTGTCCAAGGTTGCAGAGAGAGAGAGAGAGAGAGAGAGGGGGGGGGAGGGAGAGAACTAGGCTCAGGGACGGGATACCATTCTCAAATCCTGGCTCAGCAGCAAATGGCCTTTGGATTTGCAGCTGGGGAGCTTGATCCTGTGCACATTTACTCAGAAGTAAGCCCCACCCAGCTGGGACTTTAGGAATCCCTTCTGTGCAAAGGACCCTCAACTCTAGGCATGCCAACTGACCAAGAAAACAAACCCTTGTGTCTCTAGCAGCTGCTTGCTGTGCAGAGAGCAGCAGCAGCTGCTTTTCCTAGGAAGGGGACTGGCCTGGTAATACTGGCAGGCTAAGTTGCTGGCAAAAGTGCAGGAGCAGAGGCCAGCAAAGAAGGTGGCAGTGCAGTCTTGAGGCGGCTGCTTGGGCCAGGAAAATGTTTCGGGCCAGCCCAGGTGTTGGTGTTTTTGTTAGCTGAGCAGGTAAATCCAGGTGTTTTGAAGTGTGTGTGCAGGGCTGTCTTAAGCATATGTGGCTCCGGGGTGCAGAGATCCGTTCGGCGCCTCCCCCAGGTTGCCCAGTCCCAGGTGTGCAGGAGGGCGGAGCCAGCTGGCTGCCTCAGCGACTTGCTGGTTTGGTCACCCCCACACTCACGGCACAGAGCCGCCTGCAGCACAAGAGCCCACCGCAGCACTCCAACCAACGGACAGGCTCTTCCCTGGACTCAACTCTTGGATCCCGGACTCTCAGCCTGGTGCCCAGGTGCCCCATGTCGGCATCTCCGCTCGGCCAAGCTGATAAAGCTCATCTTCCTCCGGCCGAGTCCTTCGGAATCACCTCCGTCCAATAATTAACGACCTGAGCCTTTGATGAGGCCTTTGATGAGGTTCCCGTTCAGCAGAGTTTCCAGCACAGGGAAGTGATGAGATTTATGGCTACATCGCTATGCTTTATTTCTTACTACACAGACAGCAAAGAAAAATACACCCTCTTTCTATGAAAGCAGAGAGCAACTGGAACAAAGGAACAAAGGAACAGGAAACCAGTAAACATCACATCCGTCTCCTGCCTCCGTGAGACTTCCAACAGCCTGGAAGGTCTCTGGAATGTAAACAGAGCCTTTGACTCTAAGCAGCTGCTCAGTGGCAAACAGAAACTAACACCCCACACTCCTAGCGCCTATGGGTAAGATGGCCCTGTGTGTGTGCTCACCATCTCTTCCTTTGACGTGATGGAGACCAGGTGTGCCTCCTGGGCTCTACAGGTGTCCTCAGCTTCCTGCCAGGGCTTTGCCTCTTGGGAAAGGAAATAGACGCTGCCGTTGTAAAACTTCCAGCCTGTGGAGAGCAATGCCAGGAGTTCCCCTTTGGGAGAAAAAGAGGGAGTGAGTCTCAGGAACCCTGAACTGCAGGAAAGGCTGATTGGAGGTGTTGGATCTGAGCATCGTCTGTTCGAGGATGTAGCATGGGTGTCTAAAAATAGGGAATGGATGTGTGCTAGAGAAGGGATGGGGGCTCAAGCATGGTGTGTGTGCATAAATATTATTTATGTATTGCATTTATAGCCAACTGCTGCCCCCCATTCAGTTCAAGAAGGAGCTTGTCATGCAGAGGCATGAAAAACCACAGTTCTTGAACATTCTTCCTTGTTCATTACATGTACAAGGTGTGACCGGAAGGTTCGGTGAATGGTCACGGAAATCGGACAGTGAGAAATATTTGAACATACATACCTTAAAGGTAAAGGGTAAAGGGACCCCTGGTCATTAGGTCCAGTCATGGCCGACTCTGGGGTTGCGGCGCTCATCTCGCTTTACTGGCCGAGGGAGCCGGCGTACAGCTTCCGGGTCATGTGGCCAGCAGGACTAAGCCGCTTCTGGCGAACCAGAGCAGCGCATGGAAATGCCATTTACCTTCCCACCAGAGTGGTACCTATTTATCTACTTGCACTTTGATGGCTTTTAAAGATAAGATAGCTGCTTATTTCCTTGACATCTGATGGGAGGGCGTTCCACAGGGCGGGCGCCACTACCGAGAAGGCCCTCTGTCTGGTTCCCTGTAACCTCACTTCTCGCAATGAGGGAACTGCCAGAAGGCCCTCAGAGCTGGACCTCAGTGTCCGGGCAGAATGATGGGGATGGAGACGCTCCTTCAGGTATACTGAACCGAGGCCATTTAGGGCTTTAAAGGTCAGCGCCAACACTTGGAATTGTGCTCGGAAATGTACTGGTTACAAGAAGGAGATTCTGACTAAACATCAGAAAGAACTTTCTGATGTTAAGAGCTGTTCAACAGAGGAACAGACTTCCTTGGGAGGTGGTTGCCCCAGGTCTGGCCAGGAGGATCGCCATAACTCAAGTTGGGGTGGGGACTTGGTTTTGCCCTTGCAACTTTAACTGGATCATGATATGCAGAAATCATGTGGCAAAGTCCTTTAATTGAATAAGGACCAACATTGCCACCTCCTAATATGTTTCAATTACAGGAGCAGTAGGCATTTAAGAAGTTGGCACCGCTTATGTCCAGAACCGGAGATGGTTTGGGATGCTGACTCCCCTTGAAGGAAAGGTGGGATTGGAAGATTTTGAAAGGTGGGATTGGTCACTGATTTTGACCCCTACTTACTGTGACGATTCTGGATAGCGGTTTTTGACGCACTGACATTCCCCAGGCGGGTTTGGATCTTGTAGAAAGCCTCAGAGATGTTTTGGAGCAGCTGAACACCTGGAAGGGCAGAGTTCGGTGTAGTGTCAGACCAAAGTGAGCTTTGTGAAATGGGAGACTAGGAGAAAAGTGTCAGGAGCTCGTCCTACACTCGAGTAGGACCCTGGCAGAGACACATGCCTGACTGGCATGTTCTCTCCCTCCTGGTCGATCGTTCAGGAGCTTCAAAGCTTTCTTCAGCCCGAACATCACAGCGACCGATGCGAAGAGATACCAGCACACTTAGGGATCCACAGAGTTTGTGCAGCATGCGTAACAGACCTCAGCAACTCAGCATTTTGGCTAATCTACTTTATTTACATATAAACCCACACGGAGCACTGCAACATGGCTCCCTCTCTCTCTAGCATCAGACAGCAAAGAGAAAAAGAACAAAGGACAACAGTCCCAATTTAATGGAACACAGTAACACAAACATCCTTTCTCCGTCGCTTCCCACTCGGTGGAGTCAAATCATACACCGTCATGTGAAAGACAACAATCCCATAACTGCAATCACGGAGCAGGAATTCTAACAAAAAGTAACGTTTTCATAAACTTCTCTCTGGCTAAGAAAATCACTGAGATGCAGTGACTGGGGCAGCTGCACCTGTTGAGTTTCTGTTTAAAGGCACAGGGTACTCTCATCAGAGAAAAAGTTTGTTCCCTATCCCTGAAGGAGGTATTTAAAATCTTCCAGTTGCTGGAAACTACAGGAGAGGAGAGTGTTTGTGTGGCCTATTATCACAGCCTCAATTTCCCAGCTGTAAAAAGGGCACAACAATAACCTACCGTACTTTCCTAGCTTGGCTGTGAGGACAAACACTTTTCATTATGCAAATTAAATGACGAAGGGCACAAATCATCTGGAGGAAAGGAAGGGAAATGTTTAAAAATAGGAACCCTTCCCATCCTCACATACTCTGAGGGTTGTCCTCGTTTCTGGGTTTTGCAACTTACTCTCAGATGCTTCCGCTGGTGAAAGAGAGATATTGCTGAGAAACAGGGAGGTTCTGATCTTCTCCATCACTCCTTCAATTTCCTGGAGTTTCTTCTCCTTCTGGGAATCTACAAACCATATGAACATCATAAGAGCATGCTGGATCAAGCCAATGGCCGATCTGTGGGAAACCCACAACCAGGATTCGAACACAAGAGCAGCACTCCCCCTTCTTGTGGTTTGTCTAATATTATTAGACAATTATTTGTCTAATAATCCTTTTTAAAACACATCCAAATTGGTGGCCATCACTCTTTCCTGTGGCAGGGAGTTCCACAGGTTATCTGTGCACTGCATGAAGAAGGACTTTCTTTTATCTGCCCTGACATGGCAGACATGCAGGATTAACTTCCAAATAAAAGTGCCAGTGAAGGCAAGAAGTGTGAAGGGGGCGTGCAAAGTAGGAAATCCAAAAATCTGAAAATGCTGAACAGATTTCAGAGTTTGGAGTTTTGCTCAGAACTCCCTGCTACCCCTTTTCTTTTTAACAGGGTCGGAACTTTTTTTTGTTCTCCTCCCAACTGCAGCGGAGGCACAAACGGAACTGCGTTGGCCCACAATCCATTTGAGTATCCTTGCCTCTCCTTCCTGCTGTTTTCGACCTGCCCTGCCAAATTCTAGATTGTAAGCTCCATGGGGCAGGGACCTATCATTCATGTTCTCCTGCAAATTCCCATGTACATCTAGGGCAGGCATAGGCAAACTCCACCCCTCCAAATGTTTGGGACTACAATTCCCATCATCCTTAGCTAACAGGACCAGTGGTTAGGGATGATGGGAATTGTAGTCCCAAACATCTGGATTGCCAGAGTTTGCCTATGCCTGATTTAGGGAGCCTTGCAGTATATTCTGGGATGTTACAGCCCATCCTTGAGCATGCCTCTTGAATACCAATGGCACTTTGGCCCTTCCAAGATTTTGTTCTGCTGGTCTTCCTGGCAATGGGGCTGGTGGCATTTTCTGCAGGCCAGCCAACTCTTCCCTATTTAGATCAAATCCCTTCCTTCCCCACCATCGCGTTTCAAGGCTAATTTCCCTCCCACTTGGAAAAACCTCACCTTTGCTCTGGTTCTCTCATTTTTGCGGAGTATTTTCGGGGGTGAGCAGTGACCAGCATTTAGCTTTTAATTGTCGGAAACAAAATCTGCCCTTATTCCCTTATGGGGGAAACAAGAGCCCATATAGAGTCCTTTGTAGGTTCTCCATAGGTAGGAGAAAATAACAGAGGCCAACCAGAGAAACTCCTAAACAGCCTCGGTCCAGTATACCTGAAGGAGCGTCTCCGCCCTCATCGTTCAGCCCAGACACTGAGGTCCAGAGCCGAGGGCCTTTTGGCGGTTCCCTCCCTGTAAGAAGTCAAGTTACAGGGAACCAGGCAGAGGGCCTTCTCGGTAGTGGCACCCGCCCTGTGGAACACCCTCCCATCAGATGTCAAAGAGAACAACAACTATCAGACTTTTAGAAGACATCTGAAGGCAGCCCTGTTTAGGGAAGCTTTTAATGTTTGACAGACTATTGCATTTTAATATTTTGTTGGAAGCCACCCAGAGTGGCTGGGGAAACCCAGCCAGATGGGCAGGGTATAAATAATAAACTATTATTTTTATTTTTATTATTATGAGAAGCAAAGCAGCTCGTAAGCCTGATCTTTATTGAACTGTGGCCACAGGGTGCTCCCCTCACACGCAGGAAAGGAGGAGGACCCAGAACCAAGGTGTGCCTGCCTTTATATAGACATTTTAAATTGCCCACCCTGGAGTCCAAGACCACCCCCAAAAACATCATATATAGATCACAGAAGGGGTGTAGCTCAAGACCCCCCCTCCCGATACATCATACCTACATCACAGAAAGGGCGGTCTACAACAGATATCTGAGTGCGTTGTTTATCTCCTGTCTGGCAGGTAATCTGATAATGCCTTATCAGATGGTAGTCTGGCCATTCCTTTGAGATGGTGATTACCCAATTCCTGAGACAATGGGAAGGTTCCCTCACCCCCTCCCTCCTTGCAGAGAAAACATTTGGTCAGTTTGGGAGTCAAAATGGTTTCAGGATGGTCTTCCTGTGCTGCTCCAGACATGTGGTCCACATATCTATGTACGTGCTTGGTTGGTACATTTATGAGCATTTATTATATATATATATATAAAAGACCTTAAATTTGTTATTACTTAATGGAAGCCTGTGTGTGATCGCCCGAAGCAGCAAAATGGTGGTGTCATTCTGCATGTCCTCAGAGGCACTCTTGCCACCCATTGGGGCCTGGACAGATGTAATTGAGATCAAAGTAGGATGCTCTCACCGACGAAGGGCGTTTGCTTTGCATGCCTCTCCAGGTTGGGCTGAGAGAAAGAGAGACCCGTGCTTGAAACCCTGGGCAGCTGCTGTCAGCCAGCGCAGATAATATGCAGCTGGATGCACCAATGGTCAGGTTCTGGATAAGGGGCCAGAGCCGTGGAGATCAGGCACAGTGGAAACGCGTAGTTGTACTTACAGAGAAGGGCCATTGCAATGAGGGAGGTGGCCAGCAGTAACAGCAGCAGGGTCAGGAGCGTCACGATGATGGTGGTGGAGATGTCTCTCTTGCGAGATGGAGAGGAAGCTGAAGGAGGCAGAGGATGGTGGGAAAGATTAAAATTTCATTCCACCCCCTGCTTTCTCTTAAACGTGAGGCTCCAGGGGACCACGACCCCACAGAGGCAGGTAAGGTTTTACGATACGATACAATACTCTTTATTGTCATTGCCCCATGCAGAACAACGAAATTGGGGGGGGGGGAATCTACATAACTCATTCAAAACCAACAAGTCTGCTATCCCAGCTATCCCAACCTGGTTAGCCCCCTAAAAACTCTGATACCCCATTTTTAAATACAACATACTCCCATAGAGACTCCTTACACTGCGTTTAAAACCAAAATCGCATTTGGGTAGAAACCGCTTCTCAGGCGGCTAGTCCTAGTCTTTATAACCCTGAGCCAGTGTGGTGTAGTGGTTCAGAGCGGTGGACTCGTAATCTGGGGAACCGGGTTCGCGTCTCCGCTCCTCCACCTGCAGCTGCTGGGTGACCTTGGGCCAGTCACACTTCTCTGAAGTCTCTCAGCCCCACTCACCTCACAGAGTGTTTGTTGTGGGGGAGGAAGGGAAAGGAGATGTTAGCCGCTTTGAGACTCCTTAAGGGGCGTGATAAAGCGGGATATCAAATTCAAATTCTTCTACCTTCTTCCAGAAGGCAGAAGCTGAAAGAGATCATTTCCGGGGTGCGCACTATTCTGCGCTATCTCTGCAGCTTTCTTATGGCACCTGGAAGCGTAGATTTGATCCAAGGTGGGAAGAGTGCACCCAATTATTCTCTCCGCAGTCTTTACAATCCTGGACAGCACTGTTTCTTGCCTGCCCTCCATCAGCAGGTCCCGGGCAGGGCAGGTTAGAACCATACCATTAAAAACAAGCAAAGCAGTTTACATAAAACTCGATGGAAAAAAACCTGAGGGGCTGAGTAGCACTGAGTGGTGCCCCAGTGAAGAATAGGGATTGGGGCGGGGAGAGAAATCCATGTATGGTCTTGCTGAGATTCCTCCATTGCAGGAGGTTGGACTAGACCAGTGTTTCCCAACCTTGTGCCTCCAGCTGTTTTTGAACTACAACTCCCATCATCCCTGACTAGCAAGACCAGTGGCAAGGGATGATGGGAATTGTAGTCCAAAAACAGCTGGAGGCACAAGGTTGGGAAACACTGGACTAGACGACTGTCAGGGTCCTTCCAACTCTACAATTCAATAATAATAATAATAATAATAATAATAATAATAATAATAACCATAATCATAATAATAATTTATTATTTCTACTCCGCCCATCTGACTGGGTTTCCCTAGCCACTCTGGGCGGCTTCCAACAAAGATTAAAAATACATTAAAATGTCACACATTAAAAACTTCCCTGAACAGGGCTGCCTTCAGATGTCTTCTAAATGCCAGGTAGTTGTTTATCTCTTTGGCATCTGCTGGGAGGGCGTTCCACAGGGCGGGCGTCACTACCGAGAAGGCCCTCTGCCTGGTTCCCTGTAACTTGGCTTCTCGCAATGAGGGAACCGCCAGAAGGTCCTCGGCGCTGGACCTCAGTGTCTGGGTAGAATGATGGGGGTGGAGAAGCTCCTTCAGGTATACCGGACTGAGGCTGTTTCGGGCTTTAAAGGTCAGCACCAACACTTTGAATTCAGCCCGGAAACGTACTGGGAGCCAATGTAGGTCTTTCAAGACCGGTCTCGGCAGCTGCTCCCCATCATCAGTCTAGTTGCCGCATTCTGGATTAATTGCTGTTTCCAGGTCACCTTCAAAGGTATCCCCACGTAGAGCACATTGCAGTAGTCCAAGCGGGAGATAACTAGAGCATGCACCACTCTGGCGAGACAGTCCGTGGCCAGGGAGGGTCTCATCCTGCGTACCAGATGGAGCTGGGAGACAGCTGCCCTGGACACAGAATGGATCTGCACCTCCATGGACAGCTGTGAGTCCCAGGCTGCGCACCTGGTCCTTCAGGGGCACAGTTACCCCATTCAGGACCAGAGAGTCCTCCATACCTGCCCACCTCCTGTCCCCCAGAAACAGTACTTCTGTCTTGTCAGGGTTCAACCTCAATCTGTTAGCCGCCATCCATCCTCCAACTGCCTCCAGGCACTCATAATTCTATGATACTATGATTCTAGTTCACATTTAAAGCCAATTTACCCCCCCCCCATCTAATTCACACTTCCCAAAACAATATGAGAAGTGAAAGGAGGGAAGAGTGTTCTTGGGCTCAGATACTGCTTGCATGTTTCCCACGGGCAGCTGCTTGACTGCTGTGAGGACAGGATGCTAGGCTGAGGGGGGCGGACCCCCCCTTGGGCCTGATCCTGCAGGGCTCTCCTTATGTGCTCTTATGAGATGCGTTTGAGATGGAGTTGCTCTGGTCCATTGTGGGATTGCACTTCATTCTGCTTTTACGGTGTCATACACTATGCAAATCAGCAGTCTATAAGTATATATTTTTGAATAGAAACAAATAATAAATTCCCCACTAAAAAAGAAAGAAAATCCCCCATCTCTGGTCCCTTTGGAAAACACAACACAAAGGAATACAGAGAGATAAAGAAACACAGCTCACACAACTCTGCAGTCAATTATATAGAACTTCCCAAAGACAAAAAATGTCAAAATATGTTGTTGTTGTTGTTTAGTCGTTTAGTCGTGTCCGACTCTTCGTGACCCCATGGACCAGAGCACGCCAGGCACCTCTGTCCTCCACTACTTCCCGCAGTTTGGTCAGACTCATGCTGGTAACCTCGAAAACACTATCCAACCATCTCGTCCTCTGTCGCCCCCTTCTCCTTGTGCCCTCCATCTTTCCCAGCATCAGTGTCTTCTCCAGGGAGTCTTCTCTTCTCATGAGGTGGCCAAAGTACTGGAGCCTCAGCTTCACGATCTGTCCTTCCAGTGAGCACTCAGGGCTGATTTCCTTAAGAATGGATGCGTTTGATCTTCTTGCAGTCCATGGGACTCTCAAGAGTCTTCTCCAGCACCATAATTCAAAAGCATCAATTCTTCGGCGATCAGCCTTCTTTATGGTCCAGCTCTCACTTCCATACATCACTACTGGGAAAACCATGGCTTTAACTATACGGACCTTTGTTGGCAAGGTGACGTCTCTACTTCTCAAGATGCTGTCTAGGCCTGTCATTGCCCTTCTCCCAAGAAGCAGGCGTCTTTTAATTTCGTGGCTGCTGTCACCATCTGCAGTGATCATGGAGCCCAAGAAAGTAAAATCTCTCACTGCCTCCATTTCTTCCCCTTCTATTTGCCAGGAGGTGATGGGACCAGTGGCCATGATCTTCGTTTTTTTGATGTTGAGCTTCAGACCATATTTGCGCTCTCCTCTTTCACCCTCATTAAAAGGTTCTTTAATTCCTCCTCACTTTCTGCCATCAAGGTTGTGTCATCTGCATATCTGAGGTTGTTGATATTTCTTCCGGCAATCTTAATTCCAGCTTGGGATTCATCCAGCCCAGCCTTTCGCATGATGTATTCTGCATATAAATTAAATAAGCAGGGAGACAAAATACAGCCTTGTCGTACTCCTTTCCCAATTTTGAACCAATCAGTTGTTCCATATCCAGTTCTAACTGTAGCTTCTTGTCCCACATAGAGATTTCTCAGGAGACAGATGAGGTGATCAGGCACTCCCATTTCTTTAAGAACTTGCCATAGTTTGCTGTGGTCGACACAGTCAAAGGCTTTTGCATAGTCAATGAAGCAGAAGTAGATGTCTTTCTGGAACTCTCTAGCTTTCTCCATAATCCAGCGCATGTTTGCAATTTGGTCTCTGGTTCCTCTGCCTCTTCTAAATCCAGCTTGCACTTCTGGGAGTTCTCGATCCACATACTGCTTAAGCCTTCCTTGTAGAATTTTATGTCAAAATATAACATAATATAAATGTCTTATTTTTTACATTTTGTCTCTAGTCCATTTGCAGGTGTGTTCTGCAGTGTGTCTCGCTTGATGCCTGGTTTGGGTGGGGTACACGAGTTGGTGTGGGAATCAGGCGGGAGGGATGTTTCTTAAGAGCTTATTTATTTTCATCTGTGAAACTCTGCAAGCTCTGCAGTTTCACAAGAGCTTTATTGCAAATGTTGAGTTCCACCCCATCGTTTCCGGCCATCTTTTCAGAGGAGGATGAGAGTCCAGCAACTGCATCCCGCAGGAGGACCGTAGGTGTGTGTTTGGTCCCCCACCTCACCCCCAGCCCCATATTATGGATTAAATTCAACCTTCACACAACAGGAAACCACTGTGGACTCTGGGGCACTGATAAGCAGAGAGGAAGCAGGATGTTGACAAGCCCATTCTTGCAAAAGATGCCTTGCACCAGACTTCGCATCGGGCACCGGCAATTGACCTAACGACTCCTTACATTCCTATCACCGGACCCAGGACTGGCTCTCAGGATTGCGTTGCCACAGGTAAGAGCAATTGCTCAGGTAAGGCAATTGTCCTCCACAAGGAAAGCCACTCCCCTCAAATTTACCAGATGGATGGCCTGATCCAGCAGGGTCTTCTGATATTCTGGTGCCTGGGAAATTTCAAACACTGCAAGGGGCAAAGAGGAGCAGACAGACCTCCTCCCTAATATCCCCCACTTTGATATTCACTTTGGACAAAGGTGCATTACAATTCCTGCTGGATCAGGCCAGAGGGCTCCCATTCATCCTGGTCTCACGATGCCCCAAAGGGACCTGGGTGCAACAGCAACGCACCCCAGAAACTGGTGCTATTCAGAAGCACTACTGCACCCCAGAGCGCAGTGATAACATAGCCATTGCAGACCCTCCAAGTGTCCCTATTTTCCAGGGACAATGTCAGATTTACAGAAGCCTTCCACATTTCTGATTTGATCCCAGAATGCCCTGCTTTTCCCTAAAAAAAGGTAAAGGGACCCCTGAGCATAAGGTCCAGATGTGTCCAACTCTGGGGTTGCAGCGCTCATCTCGCTTTATTGGCCGAGGGAGCTGGCGTACAGCTTCTGGGTCATGTGGCCAGCATGACTTCTGGGAAACCAGAGCAGCGCACGGAAACACCGTTTACCTTCCTGCTGGAGCGGTACCTATTTATCTACTTGCACTTGACATGCTTTCGAACTGCTAGGTTGGCAGGAGCAGGGATTGAGCAACGGGAGCTCACCCCGTCGTGGGGATTCGAACCGCTGACCTTCTGACTGGCAAGTCCTAGGCTCTGTGGTTTAACCCACAGCACCACCCACGTCCCCTAGGACGTCCCTATTTTCATCGGAGAAATGTTGGAGGGCATGGAATAGGATGTCCCCAAGGATTCCCCCCCCCCAGCTGGAACTCGCTGGAACTGAGTTCCGGCACCTCTCAGATGGGCACCATTGCCATTCAAAGAGAATGACAGAGGTGCCCATGAGTTCCAGCCCTGTTTCCCTTAGAAAAATAGCAATGAATGTCCTTATTTTCACCGGAGAAATGCTGGAGGGGATGCAGTTGTGGTTAGAAGCCATTGATAGCCTTCTTCTCCATGAAACTATCTAATCCGCTGCTGTAATGCCTTTGCTCCCCCAGACCAAGCCCCGATTCAAAATATGAGACATTTCTTAAAAGGGAAGGGAGCCTGTCATTAAAGTGTGCCCTTACCACCGACTTCAAACTTCGTTGTATTCGCATAGATGATCTCTTGCGCCATCCTTCTCTCGATGCCACCAGCCTTGCCTGTTCTTCTCTAGCTGTTCTCTCTAAGACAAACACCTTCCTATTAAGCCTTTCGTTCCGGCCTCCTGCTCAGCTGTCCCGGCTACCACGCCCCCTGGCAGCCAACCAATCGGGCAGAGGCTTGAGGGCGGGGTTTAGCTGCTCAAATGCGGCCACGGTAGCACTGCCCTCTCATTCTGCTGCTGGTTTTCGTTGGATCACGCACGCACCCTCCCTTTAGTTCATTGCTATGTTTTTGACCTTGCCATGGACCTGCGGTTGGTCGCCTTGGTTGTCCAAGGGGCCTGGTAGGAACTGGCCAATTGGCACTGGCCACTTGGTTTTTCGCCTAAAAGGTAAAGGGACCCCTGACCATTAGGTCCAGTCGTGGCCGACTCTGGGGTTGCGACGCTCATCTCTCTTTACTGGCTGAGGGAGCCGGCGTACAGCTTCCGGGTCTTGTGGCCAGCATGACTAAGCCGCTTCTGGCGAACCAGAGCAGCGCACGGAAACACCGTTTACCTTCCCGCCAGAGCGGTACCTATTTATTTACTTGCACTTTGACGTGTTTTCGAACTGCTAGGTTGGCAGGAGCAGGGACCGAGCAACAGGAGCTCACCCCGTTGTGGGGATTCGGACTGCCGACCTTCTGATCGGCAAGACCTAGGCTCTGTGGTTTAACCCACAGCGCCACCTGCGTCCTGGTTTTTCGCCTACCTTGTAGCAAATCGTCACAACTTTTTGGGTATTGGCGGTTAGGCATTGGAATATGTTTGTGTATTGGAGGGCAGGATGTGGCCATTCCCTACCCTTCAACTTTTTGGGTATTCCGTTAAAGGAATCCGGTGGTTTGTGGATCCTGTCCAACGCCCTTGTTGTATTTGCATCAACAGGCTCCTTCTACTGGTGGTTAACCCTTGATAGACTCACCCCTTCCTGAGGGGGTGGAGTCAAGCTCTGTTGTTTTATCCAACGCCTAAGGCAATATCACTCACATGCTGTAATCAATAAAGTTGTGGCCTTTTTTTAGCCTATTAACCTAATATACTGCATCCTTGTGTCTTTCTTATCCTCAAGTGGGTGGCGGGTCCTCGACTCACAACTGTCATGCTGCCAGAGAGAGGCTTGTGGGCTTTGTGGTTAAAAACACAGTGACTTTGCAACTTTGCTGTATTGTTTTTAATATTCGGTTGGAAGCCGCCCAGAGTGGCTGTGGAAACCCAGCCAGATGGGCAGGGTATTGTTGTTGTTGTTTAGTCGTTTAGTCGTGTCCGACTCTTCGTGACCCCCTGGACCAGAGCACGCCAGGCACTTCTGTCTTCCACTGCCTCCTGCAGTTTGGTCAAACTCATGCTGGTAGCTTCGAAGACACTATCCAACCATCTCGTCCTCTGTCGCCCCCTTCTCCTTGTGCCCTCCATCTTTCCCAACATCAGGGTCTTTTCCAGGGAGTCTTCTCTTCTCAGGAGGTGGCCAAAGTATTGGAGCCTCAGCTTCAGGATCTGTCCTTCCAGTGAGCACTCAGGGCTGATTTCCTTCAGAATAGAGAGGTTTGATCTTCTTGCAGTCCATGGGACTCTCAAGAGTCTCCTCCAGCACCATAATTCACCTGGAGGAACCGGCAAGCCACTCCAGTATCCCTGCCAAGAAAACTCCATGGACAAAGACAACGGGCAGGGTATAAAAAATAATAATTTTATTATTATTATTATTATTATTATTATTATTATTATTATTATTATCAGAGCTGCTTCCAGATCCCAGCTCACAGAGGATCACGCTAGCCAGCGATCATTAAATAAAAGTCTTTATTGAGTTACAGTTTCCATTCTCAAGCTGCTGCGTGCAACTCTACGTCTTATGGCTAGACCGGCGAAGCTCCGTCTGAGTCTCCGCCCCTTGTACACCAACTTAATATCCTAGCCCTGCTCCACCTTTTCCGCCTGACTGTTCTTCTCTGGGTCCCTCTGCCCCCCGGGGTCTCTTCCTTCCGGGATTCTTCTGACGCCGACCCCCCGGACCCTCCTGTCTCCTTGCGCCGGGCTTTAGGACCTGGCTCCCTTTCCGGGCTGCCTACTGCGCCACCTTCCTGTGCATTTGAACTTGGTGCGCGCGCCCAACCTTCCACTTTCCGTCTGACCGTTTCTTCGCTCCCCGATGGAGGTGTGGCCACTCCTGACTCGTGCCCTCCCCCCTGTTGTGAGCTGCCAGCGCTTGCTCCCTGGCGCCCTTCCTCTTCCCTGCTCTCTGGCGGTGACGCTGGTCCCGATTTCCAACTGCTCCCCTCTGAGTCCCCTCTAGCTCTATCTTCCTGGGGTGTCCCCCTAGGCTCCCCCCTTGCCCTGGCCACTGGTGCTCCTTTCTGTGAATCTTCTGATTCACTGGAAAGACTTGGAGATCTCGGGTCGTCGTCATCACTCATCTTTTCTGCCTCCTCCCCCTCGCTCTCTGTTTCCTCCCTTGCCCTTGCCTCTGCTCCTGAACCCCTGACAATTATTATCATCATCATCATCATCATCATCATCATCATTCTGGGATTTCCCTTGCCAGCTCTGCTCACTTGGCACGAGGCTGGAAGTAGCATTCAGGGACACCTGGCTTACTAGCAGTGTGTGTGAAAAGGATCTAAGGGTCTTGGTGGACCACAAGGTGAACACAAGTCGGAGGGTCACAGCTAGGGTCAGAAAGTTGATGAGGAGTTTCCTGGTACCTTCACCTACTTAGATGCCAAAGACTGCTGCCTCACAGGCCCAGCGCCATCACAATCTGCCTTACCTTTCAGCCACAGGTGTGCTTGTGATGGTGAATGGTGGCAGGGCAGGGCAGGCAGCCAATCAGCAAGCGGCTTGTGTCACAGGGCTGCTGCTTGCACCATCCTGGGAGGACAAAGGAAGCGAGTATAAGACCGTGCGAAGGAGGCATAAGAATCCATGGGAAATACAGAGCAGAAATAGCGTAGGGTTCAAGAGAATCAGACTCGGAAGAAGAGCAAGGGAAATCCTGGACAGATAATCTGGAAGGGAATCCTAAAGTGAACCACAAGCAGAAGGTACAGTAGTTGCCTCGACACTACAGCAGATTATCCAATGTTGGGAAGATTTTCTTATGCCAGGGTTGCCATCCGTCCAGAATTTTCCGGACATAGCCGGAATACTGCAGTCGGAAGCAATGTCCGGGCAAAGAATCGCAAAAAAATGTCCGGGAAAATCTGATCATATGGCAACCTATGTCGCTAGTGTTGTTTTCGGCTATTTTCCTTTAAAAATAGCTCAGAAACCTCTCTCTTTTTTGGGGTGTCAATTTTGCCCAAAAAGCTCAACAACCTTTGTGTACGGATGTTCACTTTTTGAAATATGGCAGCCCTAATTTAGGCAATCCCTGATTTTTTTTAACCTCAGCTCTCCATTACTGGAGGGACGCGGGTGGTGCTGTGGTGTAAACCACTGAGCCTAGGGCTTGCCGATTGGAAGGTTGGCAGTTCAAATCCCCGCGACGGGGTGAGCTCCCGTTGCTCGGTCCCTGCTCCTGCCAACCTAGCAGTTCAAAAGCACGTCAAAGTGCAAGTGGATAAATAGGTACCGCTCCGGCGGGAAGGTAAACGGCGTTTCCGTGCGCTGCTCTGGTTGGCCAGAAGTGGCTTAGTCATGCTGGCCACATGATCCGGAAGCTGTCTGCAGACAAACGCCAGCTCCCTTGGCCTATAGAAAGAGATGAGCATGTAACCCCAGAGTCGTCCGCGACTGGACCTGGCGGTCAGGGGCACCTTTAGCTTTACCCCATTACTGGAGCTTAAACTGTTCCCTTTCTGCAATGAATGTCATTATTTGAGAACTTAAAAGAACAGTTAAAATCTGTTAGGCAACTGCCCCTCCTTTCCCACCTTCTCCAGATGATTCTGAGCCCCACCGAAGATTTGCCTCCTTTGAGACCCCTGTGGTCTCCATTGCATCGCGACAGATTTGTCTGAATTTGAAATGCAGTATCAGCCATAGGGACGCGGGTGGCGCTGTGGGTAAAAGCCTCAGCGCCTAGGGCTTGCCGATCGAAAGGTCGGCGGTTCGAATCCCCGTGGCGGGGTGCGCTCCCGTCGTTCGGTCCCAGCGCCTGCCAACCTAGCAATTCGAAAGCACCCCCGGGTGCAAGTAGATAAATAGGGACCGCTTACTAGCGGGAAGGTAAACGGCGTTTCCGTGTGCGGCTCTGGCTCGCCAGAGCAGCGATGTCACGCTGGCCACGTGACCCGGAAGTGTCTCCGGACAGCGCTGGCCCCCGGCCTCTTGAGTGAGATGGGCGCACAACCCTAGAGTCTGTCAAGACTGGCCCGTACGGGCAGGGGTACCTTTACCTTTTATCAGCCATGAATCGCAGGTGTGACTGCCTGTCGCTCAGCTACCACCAAATGCTAGGGGGTCCCTCTGCCTATTGTGTCCTGAGTGCGGCACCCAAATCCCTGAATAGGCAAAAGGCAGGGGGCCTGATGATGAACTTTCCCCTTGATCTGTTGTCTTCATGGGTCTTCCTTCCTTCTTGCCATTGCAGCCATGGCCCCCAAGAAACCACCAGCACCAGCAAAGCCGGCGGCAGCGGCAGCACCACCTCCAGCACCAGAACATGCTGGCATGACACCGCAACGTTTAAAGATGATATGGATGTGCATTGGTGGGACGGTATTGGTCTTCGGTACCATAGCTGCAGTGATGGGCTACCTCTGTAAGTTCAACTCTGTCTCCTGACACACACCTTCCCCAAGCTGCTCCTGAACAAACTGTGCCGCTTGGTTTCTCCTGCTGAAGGACAGAGGGTGGAACAAGGTGCCCTCGCGCAGTGAACAGGGGAGGAGGGCTGGGCACAGCTAAGATGCGTCTGTTGGCACCCCGCACCCGGCGGCAGGCTTGTTGAAGGGGCCCTTAGCATGTACAGACACTCCAAGCACCCTTGTTTTCCAGGGCTGGATCTACGCTGAACTTTTAAACGTTATTAGAATGATATTAGATACTTTGTTCTAAAACGTCACAGGACATACTGGTACAGTCATACCTCGGGTTGAAGTAGCTCCGCGGTGACCCAGAAGTAATGGTGCGCGTTACTTCCGGGTTTCGCTGCTTGTGCATGCGCAGACTCTCAAAATGACGTCATGCGCATGCGCGGAAGTGGTAAAACGCTACCCGCGCACACGCAGATGCGCAGTCGCATCTTACGTTTACTTCAGGATGCGAACAGGGCTCTGGAATGAATCCCGTTCTTATCCAGAGGCACCACTGTACATTAAATAACATCTCTTACCTGTTTTTTTGTTGGTAACAATGCAGTTTGCCTATTGCCTGGTTCCTGGTTGCTCTGCAGAAACCTCTGGCATCAAATTTTAATAACACATTGTTAACATTACAAGCAACACGTAATGTGTCCATCTATGTTATGAAAAGCATTCCTTAATTCTTCCTATTTTTATAAACCATGAGTGTATATCAGTGTTTCCCAACCTTGTGCCTCCAGCTGTTTTTGGCCTACAATTCCCATCATCCCATGCCACTGGTCTTGCTAGTCAGGGATGATGGGAGTTGTAGGCCAAAAACATCTGGAGGCACAAGGTTGGGAAACACTGGTGTATATCAATCATGGGGACAATCACAGATTTACAGAAGCCGTCCCGATTTCTGATTTGATCCTGGAATGTCCCATTTTCCCTTAGGACGTTTTTATTTTCATTGGAGAAATGTTGGAGGGTGTGCCGTTTTGTGACCCCCCCAAGCCAAGGAGATAAGTAACTATACAGCCTTCCGTCAGCTTCGGCTGGTGGCTCAGCTACGCCCCTATGTGGACAGGGAAAGCCTAACTACTGTTGTCTAAGCTCTGGTAACCTCAAGGTTAGATTACAGTGGTACCTCGGGTTAAGAACTTAATTTGTTCCGGAGGTCCGTTCTTAACCTGAACTGTTCTTAACCTGAGGTACCACTTTAGCTAATGGGGCCTCCCGCTGCTGCCACGCCACGACCACACGATTCCTGTTCTCATCCTGAAGCAAAGTTCTTAACTTGAGGTACTATTTCTGGGTTAACGGAGTCTGTAACCTGAAGCGTCTGTAACCTGAGGTACCACTGTACTGCAATGCGTTAAATGTCAGGCTGCCTCTGAAGATGGTTCGGAAACTTCAGCTGGTGCAGAATTCAGCGGCCAGGTTGCTCACCGGAGCAAGGCGGTTTGAACATATTACACCGATCCTGGTCCGACTGCACTGACTACCGATTAGTTTCTGGGCCCAATTCAAAGTGCTGGTTTTGACCTATGAAGCCTTAAATGGCTCAGGACCACAATACCTCAAGGACCGCCTCTTTCCATATGAACCTACCTGGACCCTGAGATCATCTTTTGAGGCCCTCATTCGTGTGCCTCCTCCTCGAGAGATACAGAGGGTGGCAACATGAAAACAGGGCCTTCTCTGCAGTGGCTCCCCATCTATGGAATGCTCTCCCCAGGGAAGTTCGCCTGGACTCTCCTTCCTTGGAGGTTTTAAAGCAGAGGTTGGATAGCCATCTGTCATGGATGCTTTAGCTGAGATTCCTGTAATGCAGGGGGTTGGACTAGATGGCCATTGGGGTCCATTCCAACTCTATGATTCTGTGATCTCAGGCTGGGTAGCTGGTAGAGAGCTTTGCGGGAGTCTCTGAAGAGCTACTACCTGTTGAGAAGACAGTCCAAGGCTTGGTGGAACACGGCTCAACCTTGAAAATGGCAGTTTCATGTGCTTATTATGGGGTTATTGGGGGGGGCAGTTGTTTGGCAGCTGGAAATCTGAGTTCCCGTCCTTGTCTTAATACCTTTAGATAGCAATATGCTAGCGGAACCACCCCATCACCTTGAACCGTCGTTGAACAGACTCAGAAGCTCAATGGCCGCTTCGTACAGACGCCCTAAGCTCAATTACGGAAATGGTAAGTGGGATAGGAATAACTGTTTATTTCCAATTCCGGTTTCGAAATGCGGGGTGCGGCACAGTCTCCATAGCTCTGAGGACTGAAAAGAAAAGGCGGAAATCTCCTGAAGATTGTTGTTTGTTGTTTAGTCGTTTAGTCGTGTCCGCCTCTCCGTGACCCCCTGGACCAGAGCATGCCAGGCACTTCTGTCCTCCACTGCCTCCCACAGTTTGGTCAGACTCATGTTTGTAGCTTTGAGAACACTGTCCAACCATCACGTCCTCTGTCGTCCCCTTCTCCTTGTGCCCTCCATCTTTTCCAACATCAGGGTCTTTTCCAGGGAGTCTTCTCTTCTCATGAGGTGGCCAAAGTCTTGGAGCCTCAGCTTCAGGATCTGTCCTTCTAGTGAGCACTCAGGGCTGATTTCCTTCAGAATGGAGAGGTTTGATCTTCTTGCAGTCCATGGGACTCTCAAGAGTCTCCTCCAGCACCATAATTCAAAAGCATCAATTCTTCGGCGTTCAGCCTTCTTGATGGTCCAGCTCTCACTTCCATACATCACTACTGGGAAAACCATAGATTTAACTATATGGACCTTTGTTGGCAACTCCTGAAGATACAGATGTGGAAGTTTGGCTAGCCTTTATAGGGAGTTTGTGGGTTCTTTGTATATAGAAATACCCACCATAATATCAAATCATGATAGGATGTTCCCAGGGCTTTCCCCCCCAGCTGGAACGCACTAGAACTGAGTTCCGGCACCTCTCAGGTGGGCACCATTGCCATTCTAAGAGAACGAGGGGATAGTTGATGGTGAGTTCCAGTAACCCTTTCCCTAGAAAAATAGCACATTCTTATTATTTAGATATAGACCCCCCCAGCTTCCTCCAAAGGAGGTCAGAGCAGTGAACATGCCAGCACTAATATTTATAGGCAATGCTAGCACAACTGAAACTTCTTAATCACAGTTTAAAACAACCTTCTAAGGAAGGAATGTTGCATTTGATTACATCCCACAATTGTAACATAGTTATCCTGGAAAAGGTTTAAGTTCTTTGCTGATATCCATTTCCCCAAATATTTAACCCCCCTGTTTTAATTCTCGTAATATTCTCGAGTCTTTCTTTTGCCCGTGAGTCTAGATTTTTGACTATCATTCCTCCCTTCCCCTTATTTATATAGAATCCTGCTAAGTTGCCAAATTTTGTTATTGTTTCTATTGTCCTTGGGACACTTTCCATCAGATTTTCCAATGTCGATGCAACGTTGTCTGCAAGGCTTTGACTTCGTACTCTCTCAGCCCAACCTTAATTCCTGTTATTTCATCATTTCCCCGTATTTTTCTAGTTAACACTTCCAATGTTGGGATTAACAACAGTGGAGACAGGGGGCATCCCTGCCTTGTCCTCACTACTGGGATTTCAGTTGCGGGGGGGGGGGGGAGGGAATTTCCGAAAGGCAGCACTTTGGATCTTAGGCAAATCAATTAAAAATTTGTGGGGTTTTTTTTTGGCGTTTTTCTCAAAAAAAAGCTCAACAATTTTAGGGTGTCCTCCTTTTTATAACATGGCAACCCTATAACATGTTCAAATGTGTCTGGGTCTGGGTTGGGCTGGTGCTAAAGAAACTCTCATTCTAATTTTGGGAATACTTTCAGCCATAAAGGTATCAGATTTTGCTTTGACGTTGATGGACACATTGAAAAGCAACCAGCATGAATATGCAGAGCAGAAGAAAAACTACCGTAAGTACCTGCATGTCTAAATACGGGGCACACTTTGAGAACGCAAGGGGGCAAATGGATATGACGGTGAGCCAGAAACTGAAAGGGTGGTGAAATATTCTTGGAGTCGAGAGTGGATTTCATGCTCTTTATTCAGCTCATAGTGGTGAGGAGGAATGGAAGTTCCCCCAGAATGTCTGCTTTATATACATTATTTACACAATGGGCCCCATGTGATTGGCTAATTCCGGGATTCACCTGTAGGCCAAGCAGGTTGTGGATTCACTTCCACCTGGAGCTGGATTGGGTGGCTCCTGTGGACCAATCAGACTGCTGCATTCTGGACCCTAGTGTTCTAGGACCAATCAGACTGCTGCATTCTGAATCCTATTGTTCTAGGACCAATCAGACTGCTGCCTTTTGGATCCTATTCAACTCAGTACATAACACCTGGAATGCTAGAATTGCAAAAGGGGGGTGGGCACACCCTTAGCTTCCACAAAAATTAAAGGCCACCCTGAATGAACATTAAATGCTGGCACAGAGCACCGGCTAAGGGAAGGAGCTGGGGCATATCAGTGTTCAATCTCAGCCATTGAGCAGCTTTCTCTTGCGTTTTACCCAGGCCCTGGTCTGTCAATTTTGGTTTCTTTCTTCAGCTTCTCAGTTTCCCCACATTTCCACAGCAGTTTGCATTTATTTAAAACAGGTTGTTATGAAAATGCACGAGCATTTCAGCACACGTGTCTCCTCAATATGCCCAGTTTTGCTTGCAGTTTTGCTTCAGATGCAATTTTTATTTTTTGCAAAGTAATTTCCTCTTAAGAGGATGTGGTCCCCGCCGTCCCCCATTGTCATCACATACATAGGCATTTCAACACTCCCTTTACCCTGGTCTATGCCTTTTTCCAAAGTTCCTTGCCTGGTGAACTGCATTTCAAAACCCAGAGGAGTGTAACTTTTGAGGAGTGGTTGTGTTTCAGGTCGTTTCAGAGAGGGCAAATTGGGCAGGTTTGCCTTTAAATCAACTCCCCTCCTCCACTGAAGCAACTGCTTGTGGAGCCACAGGTCAGCAGAAAAGCCCAACCGTTGCAGGGAAATCATCTTTGGGCGAAACAGGGAATCCAGGAATCCTTGTCTTGTCTGCCTGGGCCAGCATCCATCAGTGCCATTAATTTACCGTATTTTTCGCTCTATAAGACGCACCAGACCACAAGACGCACCTAGTTTTTGGAGGAGGAAAACAGACGCACACGCATTTCCCCTTACTTTTTAGGAGGGAAAAAAGTGAGTCTTATAGAGCAAAAAATACAGTAATTTGATTTTGAATTGATTTTAAAATGAATTGATTTTAGAATGCTGTGTTACTTTTATTGTTGTTAGCCGCTCTGAGCCTGGCTTTGGCTGGGGAGGGCGGAATATAAATTATTTTTATTTTTTATTATTATTTTGTCTGCCAACCCAATCATCTTCATTAGACACTTAGAAGATTATTTCACGCCACTCTTCTAAGGAATACGACAGACAGAAAAATACAAGAGAAGATGGAGAAATTAGAAAAAAAATTAGGAAAAAAAAGATAGAAAAATTAGGAAAAAAATTAGAAATCATGTAGCACGCCACTGACAATATAGGACTTGTATTTTGTACATACTGAACTTGGTGGTCAACTGGAGAGCTACATTTTAATATATTATGTCGCGATGTTGATTTTGTGCACAACTGCTTTCAGTCCATGCACCATGCAATAGCAGCATTCCTCTCTCTCCCTCATAGAAAATCTCTACAAGAAAGATACTAAAGCCAGATCTGCTGGTACCTGGGGTGCCTTTGGGAGGAATCTCTACTATGTTTCAAAAGGAAGAAAGACCTGGTATGATGCGGAGAACTTCTGTGTGTCCAGAGATTCCCACCTGGCCTCCGTCTTAAGTGATGAAGAACAGGTTATATATATATTTCTTCCTCTCTTCCACAAAGTGGTCATCCTCTCTAGTGCCCAATCCTCCTGTCAACCTTGGTTCTTCTTGCCCTGGCCTGCAAATGTGTTATGATTCCTTGCAGCTATTGCCATGGCTGCCTCGTTTTTTGTTTTCAATAATTTCTATTCATTTTCAATTACAAAAATCCAATATGCATCAAATTATATTGATACCAAATAGCAATACCAATTCAGATACAAATCAATTACATAGCCACTTATGAATTTTGTATGGCTTCCCACGCGCTGTACTTCAGGGTCTGGTTCTCTTTAATTCTGCCTCAAACCAAATATAATCCATTCTTGATAAATTTCCTTATACCACAGCTACAATGATTAACTTCATTTTTTTTAATAAATTTTTATTGGTTTTCCAAACACAAAATAGAAACAAACAATACACAATACACAGACATACAAACATATAAACATGTATAATTTCATAATCTTATTTTCATACACCTTACTTCCCGGACTTCCCCATACCTCCCCTTTTCTGCATCCTTGTTTTACATTTCTTCAGCAACTCCTCCAATTAACTAATTATTCAATTCAATTTCTTTTAAGTTCTTCTTTAACTTATTGATTACAGCTGCAATTCTCTATTTGCCAACTCCTTGACATCTTAACACTCTCAATTTTACAACAATTTTTAAGATATATTTTAAATTTCTTCCAGTCTTCTTCCACTGTCTCTTTCCCCTGGTCACGGATTCTGCCAGTCATCTCCGCCAGTCCCATATAGTCAATCACCTTCGTCTGCCATTCTTCCAGCGTGGGTAGTTCTTGTGTCTTCCAATACTTTGCTAAAAGGATCCTTGCTGCTGTAGTGGCATACATAAAAAACGTCCTATCCTTCTTTAACACCAATTGGCCCACCATGCCCAAGAGAAAAGCCTCAGGTTTCTTAGGAAAGGTCCTTTTAAGGACTTTCTTAATTTCATTATAGATCATTTCCCAAAAGGCTTTAATCTTCGGGCAGGTCCACCAGAGGTGGTAAAAGGTACCTTCAGCCACATTACATTTCCAACATTTATTATTGGGCAGATGATAAATTTTTGCAAGCTTGACTGGGGTCATGTACCACCTGTAAATCATTTTCATAATATTTTCTCTTAAGGCATTACATGCCGTGAACTTAACACCGGTGGTCCGTAACTGTTCCCAGTCGGCAAACATAATGTCATGACCGATGTCTTGTGCCCATTTGATCATGGCTGATTTCACCGTTTCATCCTGTGTATTCCATTTCAACAGCAAATTATACATTCTTGACAAGTTCTTAGTATTGGGTTCTAACAGTTCTGTTTCTAGTTTTGACCTCTCCATCTGGAAGCCAATTTTCCTGTCCTGTTTAAACACCTCCATTATTTGATAATAGTGCAGCCAGTCTCGTACCTTAAACTTCAATTTTTCATAGCTCTGTAGTTTGATTTTTCCCTCATCTTGCTCTAAAATTTCCCAGTATTTTGGCCATTTAGACTCCATATTAAGTTTTTTCACTTCTTTGGCTTCCATTGGTGATAACCACTACAATGATTAACTTCAATCCGCATTAACACATATAATAATTTGTAAATTCGCAAGTGAAGTTCTCCTTTCTTCTTCCTGTGTGAGGTTTTAATTTTCATCAATTGTTCCTTTATCAAATATTATGTCCATATTAATTAGTTCCTGATCTCCTTTTATGACTTGGAGTTACTCTGGAAAGGTCTCTCTCTTTGTAATTAATTAGTTATAATTATTAGTAGAAGACTGATCTGGTGCCCTGCCAGAGCCCCGGCAAGTCTTCAAAGTCCAGTCCCTCCTCCCCTCAATGAGGAGGCAAGTGAAAGAATTAACTCCGGAGATGTTCCATGACATTTTTATAAGTATTCCAAACATTATTTTTCCCCCTCACACAGTCCTGCCAAATGTCATCTTCCAGTGTTCTTCCCCAACAGCAAAAGCACTGAGATAATTAACAGGATTTTAAAATGCATTTAAAAAAATAATAATATTAATCATAATTTAATTGTGCTCAGATTATGTGATTTAATACTCCTTTTTTATAAAATAGCGTTAAAACAGTGGACTGCCCATATTTAAGTTCCGAAGCCTTTCCACTCTTTCCACACAAGGAAGCCAAGACTGCAGTCCTGCACCTATGTACCTGGGAGGAAACCTCATTAAAAACAGAGGCATTTACTTTTGTGTAGGTAGACAGATTATCGTACTGTAAGTTAACTGCACAGTGAATTCCTAATAGCAGGAGATGTGCCTAAGCCTCTTTGCAAAGTTGGCACATTTTGCATCTGTACTTACTATATGCCGAAGCATTTGCAGAAAACCACTTGTAGGGAGTATCAGATCTCAGGTGAACCCACCACAGGAAATATGCATTCTGGTGATGAAAGGAATAAATAAATAAAATAAGTAAACAGCACCACCGAATTCTTGGGCATAAACGAAGATTGCCCAGTGGTGCCACGGGGCTGATATTGGCACCAGACACAAGTATTCTCTTTTCTGCCTCTGCTCTCCACCCCCCAATCACCAAGGAATTTGACGCCTCTGCATCCCATTATCTCCCTTGAAGCACATGTTGCCATCCTCACAGCATTCGATGTGCAGTTCCTTACTGCCACATTGCTCAGGCTTAGGTAGCTGAATCTGGGCATTTTGTCAGCTGAGGTCGTTCCTTCTTTCCGCAGAATTACATCACTTCTCAGCTCAAAGACCCCGCCTGGATTGGTTTTACAGATGAAAAGGAGGAAGGCAAATGGGAATGGACAGATGGCTCCAGAGTAACAAAACAGTAAGTCTTAAAAAAAGAGGGGGCATTTCAAGAGGCGTTAGGGAACTGTTCTTGGGCATGTAAGGAAGTTAAGTCATCTTTACAACATAATCTAATCTACAACATAATTTACATGCATATGTGATGCACCCCCAAACGAACCAGGCCACCTGACCCCTGATTTACACAATGGGTCCCGCGTGATTGGCTGATTCAACTCCCCTCCTGGGGCCTGATTGGACTGCTCCTGCAGGCCAATCCGGTTGCTGATTCACTTCCTCCTGGAGCTGGATTGGGTGGCTCCTGCAGACCAATCAGGTGGCTGCCTTCTAGGATCCTACCTGCCTATTGTTCTAGGATCCACGCTCAGTACATAACAGTGTCACAGCCCATTTCGCCTCAACAGGTCTTGTCACCTCTCACATCCTCCTCATTCTGTTGCCTTGGTAGACCCAGCCTCTCTGTATGTCTTGGATTTAATGGAAGTCTTTCCTCTCTGGTCCCAGGTATTGGCACGAGGAAAACACTTACTTCACAGAAAACAAGAGAAGATTGGAGAAGGACTGCACATCCATAGTGCCTTCGCTAGCTGGAAACAATTGGCACGATACCTATTGCCACGAACTACGGAACTGGGTTTGTAAGGAGAGCGTAGAAATTTAAGTTGGCAAAACCTGGGCCAATGCGTGACTGAAGACAGAATGGGTTCCATCCCATGGTTCAACTTCAGGAGACGTCTGCTTAGAAAGAATGAACAGAAATATACTATTCCACGCAAGCCTTGTTCTTTGCGCTCCCTGAAACCAAGAGAGTTGAGAGGTTGTTTCAGGGGCGTCTTACCCATAGAAGTTAGTGGCGCGGGGCGCCAGGGCGCCAGATTTTGGAGGGCACCACATGCTGTGTCCAGGAAGGAGAGTCAGGGATCGCTCCCTTACCCGCTCAGGGAAACCCCTTCACGTCCCCTCTTGCCGGGGCTGCCTGGGTGCCTGATGGGCATAATTGGGGGCGGTCACGGGGCGCCCCTTTCTGGCCGCGTCGCTGCCTGCGCGCCTCCCTGCGGAGTCTGCGAGGGGAGCAGGGAAGTGCCCTGTGCGATCCTGGCACCAAGAGAGGATGGCACAGCCTGCAAGCCACCTGATCTGTTTGCTGGCACTCCTGTGGCGCAGACTTCCCCAGATGGGGGCAGATAAAGGGCACCGGGCACTTAGAGGGAGGCTTCGTGGGAGGCCATCTGGGCTGCGATCTGGGCGCCTCTTACTTACGTGCAGTGCTGAGTGCGCGCCGGATCACGCGATGTAAACGAGCCGGCCTGAAGTCCTTCCCCCCCACTTAAAAATTATGGTTATTATTTGTTGTTCCCTAATATCATTTCCCCCCCAAATTCTTAGCCTCCTCTTTCTTTATCCTTTTTAAAGACCTCACTTAGTTGAAAATATTGAAACCAATCTGTAATCTAATTTGGAATCCCTTCCTTATTTTATTTTTTTAAATCTCTTAAAATTAAGGAGATCCTTATAAGTACCACAATTCTTATCCAAATTTACTTTTTTCACTGCCACAGCCCCAGTAGGAGATATCCAATCAAGGGTCTTCCTTTCTAGAAGGTCTTTGTGTCTTGCCAAAACACTACATAAGTTCTTCCTTATTATGTGGTTTAGGAATCCCTTATGCAGCTTGGTTTTCCCATAGTAAAGGTAAGCATGCCATCCAAAAGATAGGTTGAAACCCTCTAGGTCTGCGTTGTTTGCATTTTTTAGTTCCACCCATTCCTTCATCCAACACAAACATGCCGCCTCGTAATACAATTTCAGGTCTGGGAGAGCAAACCCCTCTCTTTGGAGAGGAGAAAGCAATAGAAAAAGAAAAAGAAATAAATAAACAAAGAGTGGAAAAGAGGTTAAAAGATAAAGATAGAAACAAATGGCGAAAATAAAGGGCTTTTGATTCCTCATATGTCCACTATATAAAACCAATATTTGCTTCATCCAATCAAATATAACACCCAACAAAGCCACTTTTTATAAACAAGCATGTTCAATCCTCAAATGGCACTGGGCACTTTCTGCAGTTTTAAAAGTTGTTCCTGGCTTTTGTTGGGGGCGGGGAGTGACTTTTTTGCAGCAGATCAATAAAGATGAGTCTTAAAGAGCCTGTCTTGCTTTCTTTTACCTGGTTGTCATCTCTGTTTTATTTCTCTGACCGAGAGCGGACCTGTCATTCCTCCTCAATGATTCCTTATCATTTAGTAACTTTTTGTTGGTATGCTGGATCAATTCATTTCAGGCTTCGCTTCCCTGCTTCTTCTCCTGCTTAGCTAGTTCAAGGGTGTCTGAGCATGTGTCTTAACCTCTTCACTCCATATTGGCCATTAGGGCTGGGCAATATTGTTGGCTATTTGCAGACTAGTTGCACTGCAGAAGGTGTGCTGGGGAGACCACACATTACAAGGAACGCAAAATAACTTTAGCTAGGTTTTAATAACAAAAACTCCTTTTACATTAATTATAATATATCAATAAGCATGACCCAACCACCAGAGTACTGAAAGAGCTAGGTGCTGCTCTTTATATACTATACCAAACAGCTTAATTAACATAAATTAACAGCACCTACTATACTGCTTCACAGCTGTAAAACTAGGTCAGTTATTTGCTCTGGCCCTTAAAGAAATACACATCTTGTGGAACAATAATGAACCTTCAAATTTAACAAGACCATTCAACAGATATATCGTCCAAAACTGGTTTGAAGTCCATGTTGTGGGATTGGTTTTTGGCCTGGCAATATATCGCGAATCATGACGTGTGTGTCATGCGAAAATCACAACGTAGGAAAAACTGTGAAGCCAGCCAATGTTTCTCTCAGTTCCTGCAGCCCCTGTGAACTCTGCTGGTTCAGCTCTCCCTGCCTTCTGCAGAGGGGCAGCGAATCACAATGGCAGCCGCCAGCAAAAATCACAATGCAGGAAAAAATGTGAAGCCAGGCAATGCCTCTACATCACTCTCTCCTTACTTCAGACGTTGTGATATATCGGTATATTGCAATGCTTAGCTGGTGATATACCACGATGATGAAAACCAGATATTATCCAGTCCTACTGGCCATATGCCAAGCCTGTTCTCAGAATGGCTTTGTCTGCCAGGAATAATAAAACTTAAGTTTCTTCATTCTTTCATCCAGCACTCGTACCAGAATCCTTATGTCTGCACAGTATATATGTATCAAACTTCAGCAGAATGCACAATAAAAAGAAATTCTGGGGGGCCACCCCAAGATAGTGTCCATTGTGAAGTGACCATTTTAAACCTGTACAAAGTCACCTCCTAGGAAGTGACCCCGAGATTCCTAATAGATTGCCCCCAGAGAGGAGCACTTTGGAACGGCAAAGGGTTCTATTTCATTCTATTTCTGCAGCTAGTTCCACAGGATTGCTTCCCTTTCCAATGCTTTGCTGAGCTAATCAGTGTACAGGATCCAGCATGAAATTCATTTTTTTTATAAGATATTTATTAGCATTTTCACAAGTTTTATAAAACATAAACATCACACAAAAAAGACACAAAAAAGAAAATCAAAAATACATACAAAAAATCAGAAAACAAACAAAAACCACATGTATAACTTCATTCCCTTATATTCGTGAAAATTACTTTCCCGACCTCCTCATACCTCTCCTTACTGCATTCCAATCTCTAATTAATTCTCTTCAACAAATCCTTCCCTTAATTTTGATTAATTTTTTAAGCTTTCTTTTCATATTACATAATTGCAGCTAACAACCCCATAATTTCAGAATCAACATCGTGTTAACATTCAACAATTTTACAATATTTCTTAAGATAGTCTTTAAATTTCTTCCAATCTTCTTCTGCAGTCTCTTTCCCCTGGTCTCGGATTCTGCCAGTCATCTCTGCCAGTCCCATATAGTCTATAACTTTCATCTGCCATTCTTCCACGGTGGGTAGCTCTTCTGTCTTCCAATACTTTGCGATAAGTATTCTTGCTGCTGTTGTAGCATACATGAAAAAAGTCCTGTCCTTCTTTAACACCAATTGGCCGACTGGATCCAGCATGAAATTCAATTGCCTACCAGGAAATGGCACAAATAGATGTGCTCAAAGTATTGATCTGAGGGGCACCTGGTCAAGTAGACTTCTGGCTCCCCAAGAATACTTATCCCTTCTATATAGATGCTTTAGCAGAGATTCCCACATTGCACAGGATTCGACCAGAGGACCCTTGGGGTTCCAACTCTACAATTCTATGATTCTATATGGCATATAGCAAAAGTACATTGCGTGGTAAGTTCCTGCCCCCCACCAGAGAGAAATTAAGACACTGGACACCAAGTATTAAGGTTAATGGGCAAATTAGGCCACAACTTTATTGATTTCAGGAATGAGAGGTATTGGCTTAGGCATTGGTCCTATCGACTAGCCGGCTCCAGCCCGATTGCATGAAGACCGGCATGGGTTAACACCATAAGGGGGAGTCCTGTTGAGGCACGTCAACTAGGAGCTCCCCCGGGTCACCGCTCAGGGGCGCGCCTTAGGCCCACACCTCCATAGGGTTCGGACAGGGCCACCCCCCCCGGAATCCTTTATTGGACTACCCTTAGCTTTTGGGGGAATGTGATGGCATTTCCTCCCCCCCATCCTCTTAACCCCTTCTTACCAATGCCTAACCGCCAATACCAAGGAGTTTGTGATGAGTTGCTATGAGGTAGGCGAAAAAACCAATTGGCTGAAATTGCCAATTGGGAAGAATTCCTACCAGGCCCCTTGCGGCGACCGACCGAAGCTCATAGCAAAGTCAGAAGCCTACCTAAAGGGAGGGAGGGTGGGAAAACGGGCAGGCTGGCGCGGCGAAAAGAGGGCGAGCCCTGGCCGCGCTGGCCCTAAATAGGGCAGGCCACGCCCCCCCAGCCACCCGATTGGCTGGCTGGGTTGACGACACGGCCAGGGATTCCCTCGATCTCTGGAACCAGTCCCCGCGCTCAGTGGTCCCCGCGCACGTGGGGTGGGCGTGAAGCTTGCAAGATTCTGAATAGGGACGTGGGTGGCACTGTGGGTTAAACCACAGAGCCTAGGACTTGCCGATCAGATGGTCGGCGGTTTGAATCCCTGCGACGGGGTGAGCTCCTGTTGCCCGATCCCTGCTCTTGCCAACCTAGCAGTTTGAAAGCACACCCAAGTGCAAGTAGATAAATAGGTACCGCTCCGGCGGGAAGGTAAACGGCGTTTCCATGTGCTGCTCTGGTTCGCCAGAAGCGGCTTAGTCAGGCTGGCCACATGACCCGGAAGCTGTACGCTGGCTCCCTCAGCCAGTAAAGTGAGATGAGCGCTGCAACCCCAGAGTCGTCCGTGACTGGACCTAATGGTCAGGGGTCCCTTTACCTTACCTATGCTGAATAAACTGCTTGTAAATATGCTCACACAACTTCTCCTGCCACTTCTGTTGTGTAGCGTTTACTCTGTTGAGTAGTGAGCCCTAGCTTTTGAAGCTTGGGTTGATGATGCTGCACCAAGGACTGGAGATCGCCTGGCACACCGGCCGGTGGGCTGGAGCCAGCTGGGGGCCTGCCAATTGCCCCTGTTTCCTTGGTTGCATGCCAACACTTTAGTACAGCAAACTAAATATGACATAATAGGCATCACTGAAACCTGGTGGGATAAGTCCCACGATTGGAATGTAATAATGGAGGGATACAATCTATTTCAGAGAAACAAACCAGACAAGAAAGGAGGAGGAGTGGCGTTATATGTCAGGGATGTGTATACCTGTGGAGATCCAAGATTTAGAACCTCAAAGCCAAAGTGAGAGCATTTGGGTCAAAATTAAGGGAGAGAAGAATAAGAGAGACCTCATTGTGGGAGTTTACTATAGATCCCCAAGCCAAACGGAGGACATAGATGATGCCTTCCTGGAACAGATGGCCAAGCATGCAAAAGGAAGGGAGATGGTAGTAATGGGGGACTTCAATTACCCAGATATTTGTTGGATGTCAAATATGTCAAACTCAGCCAAGAGCATAAGGTCAAACAGATTCCTCACTGGCCTTGCAGACAACTTCATTGTCCAGAAAGTGGGAGAAGCAACAAGAGGAACAGCCATTTTAGATCTGGTCCTAACCAATGTTGATGACCTGGTTAGTGGGGTAGAAGTGGAAGGATCATTAGGCGCGAGTGATCATGCTCTTCTGAAGTTTACTATACAGCGGAAAGGAGCAGCCAAGCATACTAGGACTCAATTTCTTGACTTTAAGAAAGCCGACTTCATAAAACTTAGGGAAGTGCTGGGTGAGATCCCATGGACAGTAATACTAAAAGGAAAGGGAGTTCATGATGGCTGGGAGTTTGTTAAGAGGGAGATAGTAATTTGCTACCAAGGAGTGTGGTGGAGTCTCCTTCTTTGGAGGTCTTTAAGCAGAGGCTTGACAACCATATGTCAGGAGTGCTCTGATGGTGTTTCCTGCTTGGCAGGGGGTTGGACTCGATGGCCCTTGTGGTCTATTCCAACTCTATGATTCTATGATTCTATGATTCCCCCCTAGTCACAGCCTTGGAATCCCACAGAAAGCAAGCATGGCTCTCACACCCTGGCTTCTGCCTGCAGCCTGCTTCCAGCCCTCTCACAACCCCTGCACTCACTGTTGCCCTTCTCGCTACTTGCCAGGGGAGGGAGGGGGCCCACCCATTTGTCCTCTGACACAGAGCAACTTCCTTTGTTATACTAATGACAGTACTTAGGGCCATAATCTCACTGAGAAACCTGCCCGGTTAGTTCAACGGCGGTAACCTCTATTAGGTTTTAACCCTTGCTGGATCCAGGACCCCAGGGACTGGGAGGAACTCAGGCACCATGCAGGACCCCCCCCCCAACTCACAACAATATTAATATGCTGTTGTCATTATGGTGGCAATTGTAGGCAAAATTCCATGATTCCTATTGGGGCAGAACTGCAGCTGACCACTTGCAACTTCTGGATTTAGACCAAGGGAAGTTCCACAAAGACTGCAAGGTAGTAATCCACTCTGGAAGTTACCAGTGCCAGGTTCATTATATTTATTTATTGTTTCTTTGTTTCATAAAATTTATGCACCA